AAGAAAGAAAAGCGGATGGAAAAAACTTGCATATATCTGATGAAGATGAAATGGAAATAAATAAAATGATTAAATAAAATATGAAATCATAAACAATTTCAAATTGCCAAGTGTGAAGGTGAACGTTTACATACAAATTGCCCTGGCAAAGTCTCTTTGTTGATTTTTAGTTTCGTGAACAAATTTTTTGTCCAAACTTCATTCTTAACATGTTACAAAAGGCATTACACGTAATGCTGAATTATATTTATGAAACTTGGAAAATATCTTCATTGAAACTTTACTATCTAAACAATTTTGCTGTAATGCAGCAGGAAAAAATGTTATGTCAAAGATATCAATATGCTACAATTTCAGAAGTGATAATTTCTCATAAAAAAAATGCAGTATTGTTCAGCAATTGGTCCTGAGTTGAGGTGAATATTTCTCCGTCATATTGTAATAGCTTGGCAAAATATCATTCTGCTACTCTACACCAGCCAGTATGCTGGGAATTTGCTAGTAGCCAAGTGAACTTAAATTTTAATGGCAACAAACTTAGTCAAGATATATCTAGCAGTTGACATGCTGTAGTTGTAGAGTTAAACCAAAATTTTTTCGATCCTTGTCGACTTAATCAATAAAAATAGAAGCACTAAACTGTTTGTGAACAGTTAAGTCGTCCGTGAGAGTTTACAGATTACTTATTTACATTACGTTTGGCTGGCATGAAGCGGTTCGGTCAAATGCTTTTGGGCAAAACAGTGAAATGCCGTGTTTTATTTTTGAATTAAATTGTCATTTAACCATAACAAAAATTCTTTACCGTAGATTATCTTCGTATTAATGAGTGCATGACAACGTTGAAAATAATAAAACTAGATACGCATTGTGTACATGTGACTTCCTTCGCTCACGTGCTTACATCTTGCAAAAGTGGGCTTGAAAATACAATGTTGTCAGCGGACTCAGTACAAAAATTGTTCCTCAATAGATCATTTTAAAAAAGCCATAATCGTTTGATTGTTTCCCAGCTAGCACACGACGTTTTCTTAACGTTGGCTGAAGGTTGTATTTACATTACGTTATGACATAACGTTAATACAACGTTCTTACCACGTTGTTTTTCTTATTCAAATTTTAACCACGTTGTGTCAACGTTGGTTGAACGTTAACATTAACATTAGGTAATGAAGTTATGTTGTAACAATGTAACAACTTTGTATAAATGTTAAGATGAACGTTAGTATAAGGTGATTATTTGATCACATGCTCGTCGTTATGCATGAGTCAATTCCAAGAGTTACCATTCCCCCGGGAATTTGGCCGGGCATTTGATTTTTTTCGTTTTAATAGTTCAATTTCCCCGCTGCCGGGGAGAGGCAAGAAGCAAATACTCAGCCCCCGGGCAAGCTGCCTATGGCAAATGCCCCGCTCCGGGACCAATTAATTTTAAATTACGAAAATTTGGAACACTTTTAATACTTTATTAAACAAGATATATGAGAGATCCTATAAAAAATAAATGTAGTAAAAGAAATTCGTTCCTGAGTTACTTTCCCTTGCTCCGCTTTTTTCTTGTTGCTTTTGCTTTTCCAGCACCTCTTTTCCTATTCACAGAAATTTTCGTCAAGTGCTGAAGCCAGAAGTTAACATCCTCGGTTGACAGCAAACATTTCTTGGCAAGCATGCTTATGTCAGTATCCTCTACACATCCACTACTGTGATTCTTGTGAAAGTCTGCCAGTATTTCAGACGGCGTCGGGCTCCTTATAGCTTTGCCAACTGCATATAAATTTAGCAGCTCTGACACATCGGTGACATAATGCCCATAACAAACTCCCGTGTGTTAGGTTTTGTGATGTAGCCATGTACCTTCTTTAGTATAATTTGACTTACACCAACAAATGTTACAGATAACTATACGATCACATTTAATGTTCAACGTCTTCTATTTTACAATGATTTAACTACTTCTATTTATACAAAATTTACGTAAGATTATTTTGGGTTCTGATAACAAATAAGGTTTATTGACGTCAACGGAAAACTACTAGGAACTATAAAAAATATTGTCTTGATAACATTATAACTATCTCTTAACATTAGTCATCTAATTACTTACACTTGAATTAATGATTTACTAATCACGGGAAGAATATGAGAGCATATCTTAACACCGTGCATGTTTCGCAATCCTCCCCTCCCCAAGGTCTCTTTGCATCAGCAACCGGGTAAGGAAAAAACTACACGATGGTCCGTCTGGATACCAGGAGATGGGAATCGGTACTTAATGTCGCGATTTATAGAAATCAATAGTCGCGACTCGCGTACTCAAATGGTGCCAAATCCCCGGGGGTATTATTGCCGAAGTAAATAACCGGCTCCCGAGCATCTCTTTTACGAGCAAATACCCGACCCCCGAGAAAAGTCTCCAGGGCAAATGCCCTGGGGTTTCCCTGGGTGTGATGGTAACTCTGGAATTGACTTATGCATTATTGTCTGACGTTGTTTTAACGTCGGTTAAACGTTAAGATGAACGTTTGATTAAGGTGATTTTTTGGTCTCAGCTTCGTTAATGTCTATCGTGGTATGAACGTTGGTTAAACGTTGCGATTAACGTCAATTCATGTTATTTCATGTTTACGTCATGCGTTGCATTTAACGTTGTATCAATGTCGAATATAAAAATTACGTCGGTCGTTTTTTCTGAACATTGATATCAATTAAATGATATCAATATGAAATCATATCATATTGATATGATTATTGATATCATATTGATATGATTATTGATATCATATTGATATCATATTGATATCATATTGATATCGTATTATCATATTGATATCATATTGATATGATTATTGATATCATATTGATATCAATATGCGTTTGCTGTATCAGCGTTAATAAAAAATAAATTTGTTGACGAAATATGCAATAAAAGAAACATAAATCGCTGTAAACGTTAAGAAAATTTGCGGGCTCAGAATACTGTTCTGCACGTGTCTTCTGTATACTTCATTAGTGGCAAGTCGATCTTTAGCTATTAAAATTTTTTCACCCAAGAAAGAATATATATTTGATACAACACATTCAAGAACGAGCTGATAAACGTTTACATGGTAAGTACATGCTGTTTTGATTTTATTTAAATAAACACAGAACTTGGGCAAGGAAATTATCTTTGGTTATTATCTTTGGTTAAATAAAGCATACAATTTATTGTATTTAGCCACAAATAATACAAGCAACATCTTATTTAAGTAATTTGGTGTGTTGATAAGCACAAAAAAGCTTTAAAATTTAAATGATTCAAATCGACAAAGGATGGTTGAAATGTATATGATGGATTGATGATAAATGCGTAAAATAACGAATTTGTGTGCTACTTTGCTCATGTAGCTTTCTAGGCTCTTTGAATGACTTTGACATAGGCAATTAGTTCTTTATTAAGAAAGGCCAATTTTTTTATCTTTAGTGATAAGGCCAATTATTGATCGCCAAAATTCAGAAAAGCCTGCGGGTTGTTGGCTTATTGCTGTGGACATTTAACGAATATATTTTCATAATTCATACACCTTACTATAGCCTTAATTTTCAATTGTTTCCACCAAAACTTTGTTAATTTTTTTGTTGTTTTTTTTATAACATTAAACTCAAAGCTTTTTATGATACATACGTCTGTGATGATGATTAATATTTTTTAACATGGGGTTATGTGATTATGTGATTTACAAAATGTTTTTGATTAAGAATCACGTAGCCTAAAACCTTAAAATAGTTGTAGTTTCTATTGCACAGCAGTGATTTTAAAGTGAGGGGGAAAAGGTTCTGACTGTTACAGTAAGGGGCATTGTTTGTGATGCTCCTGCAAGAGCACTTGTTAAAGGCAAAAAACTTTGTTCTGGTTATTTTGGTTGTGACAAGTGTACACAAAAAGGGAAGTGGCTTGGTCGAGTGACTTACTCTCAAAATAATAATATAGAATTGCGCACTAATATTTCCTTTAGAAAGTAGATACGAGAAGAACATCATCGCTTTGTTAGCCCTTTCTGTTACTTGCCTGCTGATATGGTAAAACAATTTCCAATTGACTACATGCATCAACTGTGTCTAGATGTTATGCGTAAATTTATTATGGTTTGGATGAGGGGAAATTTACAATTGTGCGAAAACCTAGGAGTTTAATGGAGGTTGACAGATGGAAAGCTACAGAATTCAGACAGTTTCTTTTGTATACAGGCAAAATTGCTTTGAAGGGTATTCTAAGGCCTGATTTATATGAAAGTTTCTTGGTTTTAAGTGTTGCAAGTTCCATTCTGGTTAGTCCTTTGTTTGCTCAGCTTCACAAAAATTACGCTAAGTAATTAATGCATTACTTTGTTGAGCAAAGTATGTTTATGTATGGTGATGAATTCGTAGTGTATAACGTACACAGTATGATTCATTTGGCTGATGAGGTGGAACAGTTTGGGTGTTTGGATGTATCTAGTTTATTTCCGTTTGAGAGTTATATGCAAAAATTAAAAAAAATGGTTCGTTCTGGAAAAAGCCCCATTGCACAACTTGCTAAACGTTTAAGTGAGTGTTCTGGCACTATTCAACAAAATGATGAAACTTCTATAAGTCTAAAAGCCCCAAACAATGCATTTTTCTTTGATAGTTCATCGTGTGGTGAAGTTGTTGACAAAGCAAGTAATAGTTGTGATAATGAAGAACTTTTTCTTTGCCGAATACATGACAAAACTGAGCCTTACTTTACAACTCCTTGCGACTCCACAAATCATCATCTCAATGGACCACAATGAAAGTGCTTCCTTTTAACCAATTAAGAAAAAAAGCAATAATGATTGATTATGGCTGCGGAAAAAAAATATGTTTGGTCGTTTTGCATCCCACTAACTAATAATAAAGGTAAAATAACCAGTTTTCAGAAAGTTTTTGGAAGAAAATGTTTTCCAACATTTAAACATGTTTTGTTTAATGATAAAATTTCTCTATTCGGCCTTACCTTTTGCAGTCCATTAAACTACTTAACCAAATTCATTGGTTTTGCCAGATGCATGTTTATTTGAATGTAAATAGGAAATGAGTACTGGTATGTACCTTAGAAACAGTATTGAAGGCTATAAAGAGGGAAATTTCAAATGAGCTATGATTTCGAACTCTGCCAATCTGAAATTGTATTTTTATTTGCTTTATATGTCTACTGATACACATGCAGTTGTAGAATTCATTGATGAGAAGTCAGTTGAAGTTGTTCCCAGAAGTTGGATTGAAGCATGTGATGGTGTAGGGTTTGCTTTGCGTTATTGTTTTTATGCAGTATTGTTCAATCATTCATTTTTATTTTTGTACTCGTTACTGAAAGTAAGTGCTATGCATATCTACGTTGGAAGATTGATATAAGTCACAATCACATGCTATAATCTGTAAAGGACAATGGATTCCCCTAGAATGTAAAATGGCATATCTTAAAGATCTTCCTGAGTTTATATGTACAGGTCAATGCAACTAACTTCATTTAATTACACTTTAGGTTTTGTGTTGCTATTGGCCGAGGACAAATGTCTTCGCTAGGGTAAAGAAACTGGAATTGCCAGACAAAAATGGTTGGAAAAACATAAAGTTAGAATATTCACATTTGCAGGTTAATATGATGTCAGGATTATAGTATGAATTTTTCATTTAGGTTACATTTGTTTTGGATTTCCAGTTATTTCCATTTTGATTGTAAATAATCATTGCTATGCCCTAATGGTGTAGGAATTTTTTATTTTCAGAATTTTTTTATAAACTTGCTGCCAGCTGTTTCACATTTTTTCCATTGAAGCCTCAAAAGTGCTATAAACGATTTAATGCTCTGTTTTCTAAATTTAAACCTTTCTTTTTCTTAGACAATTTTAAAAGTACCCAAAAGTTTGCTAGAAGAGCCATTGCCACTTCAAACATTGAACCAGATGATGAGTCAATCAACGACAAGCCACGAAAACGTCCTCGTCTCAAAAGGAGTATGGAAGAATTTCCAGATTACAGTGACATAGAAAGTAGGTTATATAGTATTCTAGATATTTCTCTCCGATCACAGCAACTTACGTACACAGTAACACAGAGAAGTATTTATTTCTGCTGTTATAACTACCTACGTGCGTATATGGCTGTAGTCAATGAAGGGTCTTGTGTGCGAAACACAAATTCTTTGCATTTGGCTATGTCTTCTTCCTTAAGATGGGAAAAGATAGGATTAAGACTGAATGTATTGCCGTAGCTACTTAAATATTACATCTTTGGCAAGCATTAAATTAACCATATTTTAGTATTTTTAGTATAGCTTGAGTACTCAATAAACATTGTTATGCGATGATCGGGTATTTTTTCTCATCAGACGATGATGACAGTGATGAACCCGTAATTCAACGCAGAGCCCCTCAGTTACCTCCTGCTCCACTTTACGCATCTTTAGTATGAACAATAAGCATTTATTGGAATCTTCTGAAAGTAATATAATAACAGCCGTCAATGAAGTCTTATCAACAAATTCTAGAAGTAAGTACTGTAGTTGCAATGCAATAGGCCATTGCTTTATTCAAAGGACTGCAGTCTTTCACATATTGCTATGTTGCATTTAAATCTAATGAGTGATTTTGCTTTTTAGATTTGCCGGTGTACAGCAAACTGATCTCCTTTGCAGAAAAAGGTATAAGCGCAATTATAATCCTTATACAAGTGGACGATTTTTTGACAGAAACATGCATGTATAAAATTTCTCTTTTCATCCTAATATAATGTTGATCTAGATTTATATGACGGTGAACTAGCACCAGAAATCCTAAACACAAAGGATCATGCAATAACTTCGCTATCTACGAGTAGGACACCATCTCAGCGTAGTGGTACAGTACCGACCTTGAGTAACATGACTTGACTCGCGAGTATCGAATGGCGAGTATCGAGTAACATGACTTGACTCGCGAGTCAATTGCGAGTCACTCTCGAGTGTGAGAAGTTTGCGAGTGAATAAGTGACTCGCTGTTTGCGAGTGAATAAAATAACTCGCTGTTTGCGAGTGAATAAAATAACTTGCTGTTTGCGAGTGAATAAAATAATTCGCCGTTTGCGAGTGGATAAAATAATTCGCTGTTTGCGAGTGAATAAAATAATTCGCCGTTTGCGAGTGGATAAAATAATTCGCTGTTTGCGAGTGGATAAAATAATTCGCTGTTTGCGAGTGGATAAAATAATTCGCTGTTTACGAGTGAATCGAAATAACTCGCAAAAATTTTCTTATCCAGTATTTGAAATTGACAAACATAATCTTAAGTGTAGTGACAAGTAAAATTCGTTCAACATTTTGAAGGCAACGGTTTTATATCTTTTTATGAAACATGGGAGCAAAGCGACTATTCATTTGAGGCAATATCTCGGGACCTAATGACAAAAGCCATAAACATTTAATAGCAAGAACGATATGAAACCACGTGTATATTAAGGCCTTTATATCAAAAGCGACTACATCCAAAACTCCAGGTCAACGAAGTTGCCACTACACTTAAGATTATGTTTGTCAATTTCAAATACTGGAGAAAGAAATTTTTGCGAGTTATTTCGATTCACTCGCAAACAGCGAATTATTTTATCCACTCGCAAACAGCGAGTCATTTATTCACTCGCAAACTTCTCACACTCGAGAGTGACTGGCAACTGCATCGCGAGTCACTCGCTCAATCGCAACTCGTCACTCTCAAGTGACTCGCAATTGACTCGCGAGTCACTCCGCCTTTCGATACTCGGGAGTCAAGTCATGTTACTCGAGGTCGGTACTGTAAGTTTTCTGTCATCAGAACTGACTAATCAGCAACTTTCATATAATATGTCGACTAAAATGTTGAAATAATTTTGATTGATTCTTTTTAACTAACTTTTACATTCGTAATGTACATTTACTGTTTTTCTACGTCCATGGTTGCATTGTAAGGCTTATATATGTTCTACAGGTGCTGTTGGCGTAGGTCCTTTAAAATATTGTTGTAATTAGTTGAAAAAATGTTAGTTATAGTTAAAATTGCAGTTGTGTTCACCACGATTTAATCAAAATACATTCGTTCAAATCTAATTCTCAGCGTTTGCTATCAAACTACTAAATGAAACTTTCTCGAGGTTTTTTATTTTAGTCACCTTTCTGTTTCTGACTTTTGAAACTTGTAGTGCCTTAATTTAAATGACGTTCGTTCGTGCAATAAAGATATATGTTAAACCCAGTACATGTCTTCTCTTTAGATAAAGGGCAACGTCTTTTCACAAGGAATTCCTACAACTGGCACAACAAGAGAAAGCCATTCTCAACAAAACAGTGATGTCTTAGGCAAGCTTTTCTTACAATTCATTATTGCATGTCTTGTTGTTACGTTTTCATTTACGTTCATTTCGTGTCGTTTGAAATGTTTTTGTTTTCTTCACAACTAACTGCAACACGTGATTGCTTTGCAGATGCGCATGACCTTTCATCGCACGAAACGCCTTCGACAAGTTTTATGAACATAACACCTGCAGAAAGACGTTCTCAACCAAACATTAATGGTACCTTTTCTACAGTATATAGTTTTTGAATAGCGTTGTTATTATGTATGCGTATTCAATTAGCAATTTGATGCGAGTTTTTATTTGATATTTCTTCTTAGCATGTTGTAAAGTTTTATATTTTTAAGTTATTACGTAGGTTATACATAAGTTATTCTATTATTTTCTTATCTATCTTGTAGGCTTCCAAAGATCAGTTCTCACCAAACTGGAAACATTAATTGATAAGCGTTTTTAATATTGCGTGCTCTGTTAAGCGCTACGAAAGGTGTAGACAAGCACGAAATTTTGGATAATGTTGTACCTACTCGCTTAGATTCGGTTGAAGAACTTGAGGACCTATCCTCTAGTCTTGATGACGAAACGTCCAGAAGAAAGTTGGTAAGTTTTGGAAAGTTAACCACCCATACGTATTTAGTAATATTTATTGGCACCGCCTATTTTTTATGCATGACTCTTTCAAGGGTTACGTAAAAAAATGTGACAAAGGAAGGCATAGCCCTTCCCCTTTATCGGTTTGGAAACGTGAAAACGATGGTTTCATTTGCAATTACGTAACATAATATTGACTTTCTTCTATCATTTGTGTTTGAAGATTGAAAACATGCACGTTTGTCAAAGTCTAAAACGTAATTTTAATGACGAATTTCATGACGTTAAAGAAGTCAGATTATCTGATTAAACAATATGAATCTAGCATCGTGTTTTTCGTGAGAGCATTGACGTGTTCTGATTGATTTAAATACGTTACGATACTTCAAACGGCTTTTAGGAGTATGTCGTTTTATTTGTGCTGAAAAATTTTAACAAAGAAACTGGTCTTTCTAAAAGCTCTCACCATTCACTTTGGATGGTTTTGTTTTGCAATTCAAGATCAAAATGGTTATTTATATACGTCTAAATTGAACTTTTCCACATAATTTATCTTTTACTTTCTTTACTAGCTGCAGTTTTTGGTAGCATTGTGCGCAAACACTTGTGCAAACAATGTTAGAAGAATTATGACAAAGCTGGGAACAAATAATCTATTGTCCCAATATAGTTGAAAAGGCAGAAAGGCAAAACGAGCATTTCAGCACCTTGCCGTGAAGAAAACGAGAATTTCAGTCTTATCAGTCTTCTTTCAAAGTGTCTTTCTTGTGGAGAGACAGTAATTGCATGTGAAGAAAACACTGTACGTAGTTTGCTATCATTTAATCTTTTTTGTATAAATGGTCATCACACAACATGGAGATTTCAAACACTCACAAGGAATGTCCCAACTGGAAATTTGCTTTTCGCTGCATCCACTTTATTTAGTGGAAACACTTATGAAAGGATTAGCCAATTTGTATCTTTCATGAATATGTTAGCGAGTATTTTAATAAAACGAAGTACATAACACAAGCTTCATTAGTTAAGAAAATAGCTCCTTTCTTAGCTCAAAAACCTTTGGCTGCACTTTTCCACAACTTAGGCATCTTACTGTAGTGTAATATGGGAAGTCAACAGATTCTGTCTCAGTAGGAATTTGGGACAAAAATTGATGTAAGACCCTCTTGCTAGTTGACTTGCGTCATAACGTGAACTTTCTGCACAAAGTTTATTTTGCTTAATAATATTATTATTTTTTTCTTTAAGTATCTCTGCGGGCCGGATTGAGAGGCCGCATCTGTCCCGCGGGCCGTAGTTTGGAAACCCCTGGTCTAAACCGGTAACAAAAAAACTAACAAAGAAGGCTAACATTTAGGGAGATGATAACTTGACGCATTGGATTAAGTCCATTTCTAATCATCTTTGGTGGTGCTCTGCAAGTTGTTAACAAGAATGCAGACAAATTGGTGGAAATATTTCCAACAAGCATTTCTGGAGGGGGAACACATATTTCCATCAATGCTTTACCATTCCCTTTTACTGAAATACTGCCCAAAGTGAGAGCATTTTTCATTTCCTGGAATGGTAGCCCGCACTCAGTTAGCATTAGATCACAACAATAATATTAAATGTGATAAAGCAGTCGTTAAGTCAGGGACAAACAAAGGACAAGACCGTTACAAAATGATTTTAGCTAAAACAAAGAGGCAATGAAAGAAAAGAAAGAGTACCAGTATGTTGATAAAATACTTGCTGAGGTTGTGAATGCTTGCAAAACTGAGGAGATTGAACTTGTACATCATGGCGAGAATCTTCGAAAGAACATTTCTAAATCATGTTCACCCAGGAAAGAAGTACTTGTAAAGGAACATCATTGTAGATTTGCATAAAATGTCAGTGGTGATGTTAGCTATGGCAATAGGTTTTGCCATGCCCATATAATATGAAGTTGAATCAGTGAAGACAAATTTTGTACATTCATTCTTAAGTATGAATTCTTCAAAACTTTTTGCTATAGCTACTTTCACCATTGCATTACACAAACTATTCATGTAATTAATTACAGTTACATTATAACCAGTGTAATAGCCAAAGCCACATTTATATTTTAAAACATAATTATTTGTTTCTATGTAAATCTGTTGTATTTGTAATAAATTAATTTGTTATCTGGAACCAGATAACAAATATGGCTAACCTGACGTTTACTCCTCATTTGACTCTGAAGATGACTACCGCTAAGGTTGTCAAAACGTCATTCAACAACAACAAAACAGTCCTTCTCAGGACTATATACGAACCTGGGCGATCTATATTTACAAACATGTAACGATACTCCCAGGTTCAAACCATTTACTTTATACCTATATTATAATAAAAACTTCATCAGCATAGTGGAAGCCTTCAAATTGAAATTTCTCTGCAGGGCCAGGTGGAGGAAATGTTTCTCTAATGCAAGTAACTGCACATGATGGCAAGACGACTCTTATTTCTCTTCCCAAGACATCTCAGCACCATCTTGTCAACTGTCTACATGCAATACAGTGGTAAAGTTTGTCTTAAGGCCCATCATATGCTACCTCATATTACTGCTTGTACTGGTACCAAGCTGTTTGTAAAACCCACCTAATAAGACAAACCGGCTCAAAAGCAGGATGTTGTGTAATGCACAAGGGCCTTCGATGGTCTTATTCGTTTCTTCTGCCTCTACATTTTGTCACAAATATTGGAAATCTCTTTGCAGCATAAGCATTCCTCGTTATTGTCCATTATTTGGCAGTTACCACATTGACACCTGAATATGTTAAAAGAAAGGATCTTCAAAAGTAAATGTCTAAATTTCATAAAGATTGTATCTTACAATAAAAACTTTAAAATCTGAAGTATTATGTGTGTGTGGACGTGGTCAACTTCAAAAACTGCAAATGTTCTTTCGAGATCGAAAACAATGGTCTAGAATGATATAACATTTCATTGCTCACCATTCAAGATTGTCGCGCCGCGGTTCATTCTCAATAACACAAATTCCTGTTCTTCGTTGTTCTCAAACTGGTGAGCTTCTTCGTGTTCATCAGCCGGCCATTCAGGCTAAAACTGATATGGCCGAATATTGTTTGTTGGATTGTATTTTATTTCACTATCGATTGGTGAATTAGGTCGAGGTTCTTCCAAAAAAGCCATTATAAGCGATTGTTTTGTTTTTGTGCTAGGCTCTGCGTTATTATTTTACTTTGTTGTAAACTGTGGTTGTAAACTACAACTTCAAGTGGGTTGGACGATATGACCTCAAAAGAATTTCCGCTGACGCATTCTTTGCCCACGCTGCTAAACCTTAAAACAGCTCAAATAGCGCACTTACAGACGCGATTTTGTCAAATATAAAATAGCTGATGTCAAAATTTCAACATATAGTAACCTTTGCATAAAAATCGAACTTTTAACACCAACATTATGTGAGGGTGGAGTTCCCCTTTAATGCTTCTCGGTTAAAAGAGTGGTAAGTTTAGTGTTGTGTCATTGATGTTTCACATGCTGTTCACGTGTATTGCATACTTGAAACATTGTTTATATGGAAAACAACATAACATAAAACCAACCAACTGCGAAATCATATGACGTGTAAGAAACTCATCTGATATATAGACAAACCTATCTACAGGATATTGTAGATCAGATCACATTAACTTTTAAAAAATATGTCTTCGTTTATCTCTACCATATTAAAATTAACTGTTGGTGTAATATGTAACAAAATACGAGATAAAACAGCAGAAAATCTTAAAGACGGTGATGTTACGGATGCGAAGCTTCGAGAAATTGTTGTGAGAGAATTGAATGATGTAAAAACTAAACTCGACGCACTCTCACGAAAAGATCTTCTCAGCAGTTATGATTTCTTGAAACAAGGAATTCACCTTTTACTTGACTGTATCGAGAAATCTGCACAACTAAAAGAGGGAGAACAGGAAAGATTGAGAAATTTAACTCGAGAAAGTCATATTGACGCTTCGTTGACTTCAAACATCCAAAGCAGTGAAATATCTAAAGACTTCGATCAAGAACACAAACTTGATGAAGCTTTTAAGACATTAAGTATTGAAAGTCCTGTTAAATTGAAAACTGCTGTCGAGAGATTTAAAAAGGCTGGCGAACGGGCAACTGACGCATTCAATAACGAAAGTTTGTCAATTGAAGATAGAATGTTTGCTGCCAAAATTCGAGTTGTTTCAACAATTTTGGAATGCATGGAATGTCCAGAAACGGCCATTACATTGTGTTTGCCCTTTTTAAATGAACTTCATTCATTACCTGCTATTCGTGAGATATTTAATGTTTACATCTATGGTGGTGTGAAGTCATTGTTAAATAAAAACGATCGTGTAGAAAATGTACGATCAGTGATGTTTATTAACCGCTTATTGTATCAGTTTATTATGAAGTTTGGGAAAATCTATCATACGGCTTTAGTTTGGCCGACCATTCAACTAAAAAACAGACAATTTAATCCAATATTGAGTTGGCGTGACATCTCGGAGAGAAATTCTTGGGACAGTGAGGTCCAAGGTCCAAATGAATTGAAATTGGAATTGGAATTGGAATGGGCTATGGATATACATAATACTCATTGCAACAGTAGCAACGACTTAATTTATTGTGATCTAGGGAGATATTTGATCAAGATTGTGAGAAAAGGTGCTGATGTAGAAATCGTCTATATATTTCCTAAATCTGACTTCATAAAGGCCAGCTTTATTGATGAAAATGATGACATGTACATCATTGTCTATCGAAAAACGTCGTCTAACTTTCATCTAGTGGTGTTGGATCCTCATTTTCTTGTTAAAAGTGAAATATCCTTGGATCTTACTTACATAGACTTTTCGAGGTTTCGTTTATTCGTGTCAGCAGAAAACATCGTGGTTTGTGATCAACGTTACAAATGTGTGTTTGTTTATGACTTGCAAGGAAAATTGATAAAGCAGTTTACAGTTGAGCAAATGGAAAATCCTAAGCGACGGATAGTCGTTACCAATGAGAACGAAATCATTCTAGGTGACCATGCATCTCTGTACATTTATTCAATGGAGGGTTGTTTGAAGACGAAAGTGAATTTGAATTTACCTGTGGAAGATTTTTTCTATCACTTTGGTCTGAAGAAATTTCTCATAATTGAAACGCGTGGTTATAGACATTACCGTTTTCACAGTTGTGATCATTCAGGAAAACTTGAAACATTGACTGATCTTAAAGACATTCATATTTATGGGTTCTTATCCTCAAGTTTAGTTCCTGTTGTCCTTTGTAACTCAGCTCGTACGTCCTCACGTTACCTTATGTGGTGTTAAAACCACTTGAAACTACTAAACCATTTTTCATGTTTGTAATCAATCGTCTTTTAGTGTGATCTCCCTCCTCCCGTTTTTGTAGAGCAGTGTTTGTAAAAACATTCTATTTATATTATATTTTATATTTTATAACAATTGTCATACTTTCTGTAAGTTTTTATATTGAAATGTTTATTTCTCGTAATATTTGCTAATAAATCTTCAATATCTTTATGTAAAAAAGAAAAAACTCAAAAAAGTAGCTACAATAAAAGATGAGCGATTATAGACTACATCGTGGAAAATTAAGTTATCGCTAAGTTAAGCAATAATTTTTATGTTTAATTGAATTATACATTGTAATTTACAAAATGTTGTACGCACTTAGTTAAATGTATGATAAAAAGATTTATGCTGCATTTTTAACAATGAATATTTAATACGTCAATGACAGGGCAACTAACTACTGAAGGTCCGTTCACACCATCCGATTTGTCGGATCCGACTTTTATCCGTCGTTTTAACATATATAAAAAGTGAGCTTCTGATAGTCGGACCATCTATCTAAAAAATCGATGGAAATAGAACATGCTCTATTTTCATCCGACAACATCAGAGAAAGCCGACAAGTGATATTACATTGATTTGAAAAAGACTTGGAAATAAGAACAAAAATACGAAAAATATATCGATAAATGTACTGGATAGCACAAAAGGCTGCTCACACGACTTTAAATATCTGAACGAATATAAATATCAACAAAATTATCAGACCGTCTGAACAAACAATCAAAAGACGGATCCGACAAATTAGTCCAATAAATCCTAATGAATTTGTACCTCCACGACCAATATGGCTGCCATGTTTTTGTTATCTCCACACAACGTTCACAAATCATTTCAATACAAGTGAAATCAATATATATGTGTGTGACAGTAAAGGTAAACTTATCAAGTCTTTTTTACCAAAGGTTAAAGGTAAACCAGTTGATGATGAAGTGAAAAGTTTTGTCCATTTCGTCCTGTGAAAATATAGCAATTTTGACAAATGCATCTGACCGATTTTACCAACTCATCATTTTTAAGTCGGATAAAACTTTTGTTAAAAAGATGAAATTTCATCCACAGGTTAAAGGAATCAACACATACACTCGAGTCATTTACACTCCCTTTGACGACACTATCAAAGGTTTTTATTTTAAAGAGGACAAATCACAGCTTGTTATTGAAACATTTTCCATTGAAACCAAAAAAATTAAAATAAAATGGTCTGTAATACTGATGAATACAGGATATTGTTCAGAATTATTTCATGGTTTGTTTCGTCTTGTTCATCATGCAAATGGAAGGTGGCTTTGCTTTCAAGCAAAAGTATAATTTACATAATCGAAGGGAGCAGTGAGCATGATGCCATGGAAGTGAACTTGGAATGGAAAGGTATTTATAAATTAAAGACAGATTTAGTCTCGAGTGTGAAGAAAGGCTTGAGTGATTGATATTTAAGGGAAGAAACAAAAACATTTTTTGTTAACTCCAAAAGATCACTCATTTGAAATAACTGACTGCTATACAACTGCCTACCACTCATGAATTTCGAACAGATATTCACCTTAAGCAAATCTAAATTTCAGCTCAAACCAGGAGCAGATTCAGCTATAGGCAAAATAAATTACTTCAACTCATTGATTGGGTAATATTTATTCTTTAGAAATTCACAACCAATTACTTTTATATAAAGGTATTTTAAATTTAAAATTAGTGGTTATAATTTATTTTTCCAAACCCTGGATCCGCTACTAACTCAAATATTATTGTATTTGTCTACATGACATTTTGAGATCATTTCCTTTTGGGATTATGTCCCTCTAGTTTATAGACATGAAGTAAAACTGATGGTACTGGATGGTTATGCTTTACTTAAATGAATGTGTTTCCACTCTATTTCTTTGTGTTTGATTGGTAAAATATTTTATTATTTTTTTAGAAACCAATTCTTTGCATGCAGACACTTCAACCACAGCAGTTATGAATTCAGAGCCATCTGGTAAGTCATCACAATACATTGCAAAAATCAAGCATTTCAAAATATACTCTTTAGTTTTGTTCATAGTACTGGCCTAGAACTGACCTATGAGTGAGAGCAGTTTACATGGCAACCAACCTAGGCCAAAATATTCTTTAATGTCTGGCCTCAATATTCTCTTGCAAAGCTATTTAGTTGCTTGTAACTATGTCATTGAAAATTTAAAAAAGTTATTTCATCAACGTAGCCAGTTTGGCATAAATAACATTATTTTTGAATGTTAAAAAATTAAAGTCATCAAGTTCAGCTTCAATCCTTTTTTCATTACACAGAGAATTCAAGAACCAAATTTTAACATCTGCCAAAATTTCAAAATGCTTTCAAGTACTTTAAATTTCTAACAGTTCTTGATAGAATAACAGTCACTATTTAGCAATGTCAAGTCAACTGTTTACATTTATATCTAAAAGAACTAATATTGGCTAGGTGCCATTGATGGCTCTATTAAAGCAGCTGTCATGGAAACAGCTAAAACAAACTAGTAAATGAATTTACATTAAAGCAGTAACATACCCTACCCTGACTAATTAGGGCAATGTTCCTAAAACTGTGTGCAATACTTGGCTTGAAAATTCAGTTCCAGGTCAGGGCCGCATTGAGGTGTTTTGTGTCCCTGGGCACAAACTTATTGAGTCTGTCAAATCATTGTTTTACAAGAGCGAATTTTTTTTGGTCCATATTTTCCTGGCATTTTGCAGTTGTATTTTTCTGTGATTGATTATGTTTATCTCAGCAACTTTTGTTTTTGTATTGCATGGTTGTTTTTTAAATTCAATCTCATTTGGAAATAAATATTTTTGGGTTAAAAAAATCCCAGTGGTCCCATTGGTTAATGTGGCACTGTACTAGGTCAGTCTTGATTTGCTCAATGTTTACACCAGCTACTTGGTCCCAGGTCAGCTATAAACCTGTAAGTAGTATAAACATGGCTTTGGAGAGCCTGGTGACCAACATGTCATGATCACCCACAAAAGTTGCTAAATCTGTTTTGTTTCTCTTCTGTTTGATGTTATTTTTCAATTCCACGAGATGGTTGTATTAAATAATTGCTCTATACTGCTTTAGATGTGCCACTTTTTTTATTAACGACAAATCTTTAGTAGTATTTTCTGTACTGTCATGAATGTTACCAGAGAAATGAAGTTTTAATTTTTTCCAGTACTCGTTTGCTTTGAATAAATTAAATTTCTTTAATATATTAAATGTTTGGATGAATGATTTATTGCATGCGAAGCTGAACTTTGTTTATCATTGAGTCATGAGAAATTTTATTTTATTTCACTTTCTTTAACCATAAGCAGTGACGTGATGTTAAGAGTAAGTATCCATTGTGTGGACGGTTATTACCAACAATCATGAAAGTTTTGGGAAAAATAGTGACTTTATTGTTTCTATTTACAACATAGATTGCTATAGATTTGGACATAAATTGCTATAGATTTGGACATAGATTGCTATAGATTTGGACATAAATTGCTATAGATTTGGACATAGATTGCTATAGATTTGGATATAGATTGCTATAGATTTGGACATAAATTGCTATAGATTTGGACATAAATTGCTATAGATTTGGACATAGATTGCTATAGATTTGGACATAGATTGCTATAGATTTGGACATAAATTGCTATAGATTTGGACATAAATTGCTATAGATTTGGACATAAATTGCTATAAATAGAACTTGAATATTTTTTTGTCTTTTAAATTATGTATAATACAGAGGTAACAGAGATAACACAAGAAGAACCTTGAAATAATGAACAGGAAAACGTGCAGGAAGAGCAACGTGAAGACCTACAGCAAGAACTCTTGGAGGAGCAACAAGAAGATAAACCACCTGAAAGAACTTCTTCCGGTAAGTTTATTGATTTAACTTTTTTTTTTTAAATCAACGAAGGTTTTTTTTATAATCGATCACGAAAACAGCAGTTGTTCTTGTTTTTTCCTGGTTTAGTTGTTTTGGTCTATGCCCCCAATTTACTAACTCTCTTAACTACAATTTAATTATGATTTTTCAAGCACGTTTGCATTGATTTTGTCTATCTCAACTCTCTAGAACTCTCCTCCTCAGTCATTTATTACACACTCGCGTGCGTGCGGCGGTCATTTTGAAGAGATTATTGCAACGTATTAATTAAGACCCCAAATACATCATTACATAAACACGTAATCACATGAGAGCGGAGGTAGCTCGCTTAACGCGCTGGGCCAGTCCCCATGTATACACTGTGAACTTTGTAAATGAGGTAACTCAAAGAATTGAATTTTAAGTTAACTCCCTCGATCCCTCTCCCCCACTGAGCTGAATGTTTCCAAATTATTTGTTCACACACTACGCGTTTTATAGAAATATAGCAAAGAAATATAGCAAAGACGACGAATGAGAATGTCTGTATAAGCCGAACGAACCTGCCCAGAATCCCCTGAAAGAAGCCTAAACCCTCTGAAGCCTTGGCACGTAGAAATCCCCAGAAACCATCCAAAAGCTATCCTGCGAATAGGCTCTGCTATTTAGGGAATAATGTTCGTCAATTAATTAGAGTTTTGTAGACATATCAACAGAATTGATGTTCGTGGGCATATCGCAGCGACATTGCTACCTGGGATCTAGTTTGCCTTATGTAATCAGGTTACATTTAAGATAGACTTTCTGCGCAAGGGGTAGTAATGGTCACCACTATGTTTAGTGAATTTTGAAATCGTGAAGCATGTTGAAATGTTATATTTACAATGAAAGGGATATCAGCGACATTGAAAGTAGTCACATATATTAGTAGCATTATAAATGGTTAACTATTACCTTGTTGTACATCTAGGAAATCACGATGCTACAGTAGTGAGTAATGTTCCCAAAGATAGTGATCTCATGGAAATTTCTGAAATAATATATCCTATATGGCTGGAGCTTGCTAGAATGCTGGGTATACCTGAAGAAAATTTGCACCATATATGCTCTGTAATTAATAAATTGCCAATGGAAATGCTTTTGAAATGCAAGATAACAGATGGAAAAAATGCCACCGCGAATATGTTAGTTGAACATTTAAATGCATTTGGCCGTCGACAAGGTAACATTGCTGTTGTTGTCTAATTGTCTATACGTAAAGAAATTTGGGGAATGTTTTAATGACTTTTTTCTTTCGTTCAAAGAAGACTTTCCGTGCCAAATTTTCAGAAAGAATAATTGATCTATTTATGAAGTTTGGAGCACTGATTTTCATTTTCCATTTGTGAAGAGTATCCTAATAAAAATAGCAAATATAAATCTTATATATCGGTTGCGCATCCTCGTTTATTTAACTGTGATAGTTTCTATTTTAAAGTATACGTTAGAATATGTGTCACTTCGATTAAGGATTCTGCTTAACACCAACATTAGCATTTTGATGTAGGTATAATCAATTTTTGAACGGTGAGCTAGGAAAAGCTGTCAAATTTCTTCGCTGTGAAATTTCTTCGCAATGAGTTTCACCAATAATGAAACGAAAATCGTTCCGAAAATAAATAAATTTATAAAATAAAAAATCGCCAATTGCACAAAAGTAGTAATACGTATTCAATGTTTGACTCATAAACATTCTCATTTTATAACAGGTTGTTTTATGTTTATGTATACGATGCTCTTCTCCAAATATGATAAAACATTTTGGAACCTTGCTTTGGCGGCTTACCCGTGAAAAGTTTGCTTGTCAATGAGCTCACTTTATATTCATCTCAATGTCAACGATAGAAAATTCTCCATTCATCGAAACCATACACTTACTGGGCAATATTTGCACAATAAAATCTGAGAACCAACGCCACTACACAGAACTGTTTGGATTCGCTTTCTTATACAGTCATCACATTGATAAATTATATAGCTAAACAGTTTGCCATCAAAAATTAACTGCGAATAGAAATACGTCAAGGATACTTGCTTCTTGGAATATGTTTCACATCAAAAACGCGCAAGCATGAATAGAAAATGTAAAAAATAATCATTCTGTTTAAAAGCACAGTACCTATATTTTTGATTATTGTTGATCTAATATGCTAATGGCTAATATTGTTGATCAATTCTTTGTACAGCTTTTACGCTCACTTAAAATGTATAAAAAGCATATTTTACATATCGTACAACTAGAACACGCATACATTGACAGTCCTGTGTACAATACTATTTCTTTCGATGATGACGTAGATAATAAATTTAAGACTCAGATATTTCGATCAATTGAAAAAGCTAAAACTTTTAATATAGGTTCCTGAATAAATATGCTTCGTGCAAGCATTAATACAGACGTCATATTATTTATAAGACCTAATTACACCTTCAGCGAATTTTTCTTTTTGGACGGAGAAAAGTTATTTACTGGATATTGTTGATATTACAAAAAGCTGACACGATATTCAGATTGTAACAGAAATTGTTTAATAAATTCAAAGAAGTCGTGAGAAATTTGTTAAATTAAAGAACTCTTAAAACTTTGACATTTGTATCCCTTTATTTTATTGTTAAATATTAAATATAGTGATTTGAACTTTAAACTAAGCATTCGTGACATGATGTCAGATATTTGATAAATGATTGATAATTTTAATTAACGTTCTTCATTCTAGAAGTGTTTTTTTTTACTATGAATTTGATCTTTCCTGTCTTATTTTAGACGAATGTGAAAGAACTGATCAGGGATGCCCACGCCAGCTGAAAGGTAATATGTAGGGATAATTATTATCAAAGTTTTTTTTGTTTGGTTTTAATTTGAAACAAAATAATCTACTATGTATAATAATTTATGACTATTTTCTAATTTGCGATAATATGTGGTTTGATCAATGTGTTATAAATTTATTGCGGGCTACCTCTTTCCTTGTCAGAGTTAATATATATTGAGTCTTCTTGTTTAAGAAACACTGCTATGTCAGTGGATTGATTAGGTGAATTGTGAGATCCACGTAAATTAAAAGCTCATGTAGACAGTTTTAAAAAGCAATAAAAGTTACAGGATTCATTGGGAAATTTATCTATTGCAGACAAAGATAAGATCACTATAGTGTGAATATTTCATGTTTTTATCTATGTGCATGTTGTGCCGCGCATATCATTCTCGATTTCATTACTCAGAATTGACATCATGTCACTTAAATAATTAAAAAAAAGTTTTACCAGAAGGAATAATATGGCGCACGTGAGAACTTGTTGCACACCTCAGTGATCCTTTTGTATACTTATCAATTTGTGCCCTTATAAGGACTCGGAAAAATGTCTTCTTGAAATTTTTCTGAAAATAAGAAATAATATCAAAAACATTATTTCAGTAATATTTTTTTTCTCCCCCACTCAAGGTGTATAAATGATAAACATCATTGTAATTCATAGGTTTTATGATCAATTTTTCGATTGAATCATAGACATTAAGTATAGAATTTATGACTTATGTTGCAATATTAAAACAAAAAAATATTAAACTATTTATTATAAAATTATTATTATTATTATTATTATTATTATTTATTATTGATTATTGATTATTTTTATAGTTTAAAAAATATTAAACTATTGATTCAAAGGCAAACGCTGAAAGTAGAACTCGTGCGAAAGAAAAAGTCTGGAACATTTTCTTTGAGTTAAAGTTACTGTGTTTTTTGGTTTGCAACTTTCTCAACATTTTGCTTCCGAAACATTTTCTACCTTAAGACCGTTTTAGACAATATTCCATATTTTTCTGGAACCTGAATATGTGACGAACAACAATGAAGTTTTTAAAGAAAAGCTCCTTAACGACGATTACAACATTCGAGATGAAATTGTCAATATCCTCCAACGGTAAAGTTTTTATATTTTTTTATCTTCCATAACTAAAAAAAATGATGCAGTTTCATTTATAGCAACTTTTTGCGAGGTGGAGATTTAGTTCATGATATTATTTAGGCATTTGATCTTAACAAACAATTAGTTCACAACTATTGGATGTGGTTGAGCATGATAACAAGAATCATTCAAACAGAGGTCAATATTACCTACCGAAGCAAAGCTCGGGCGGATAACATTGACCAATGTCTGAATAATGAATACAGAGGCTTTCATAAAGTTTTCCGTGCTTTGACAATAATTTTTTCGGTTCCATTTCGTCTTTTTCTCGTAAACACTCGATGACAACTTTCCTGACTGACAGCGTAACACTTCCCGTGTATTTTTACGTATTTATTTTCAATAGTTCAAGCGAAAACAGTTTGTAAACTTCTGCAAATCTTTAGCGAGATTCTGCCATTTTTGTTTACATTTTTCTCATGAACCATTACGTCATCTGCAGATAGTATTCAGTATTTTTCACGTGACAAAACATCGAGAATTTTCTGTTGCCTTTTATCCAATCACAATTAAGATTGCACGGTCAGTATTCACTTGATGTGTAAATCAAAAAACAAAACTCATTATTTGGCGAGGGCTCCCGCATTAAGTTTTTGGTTACATACGAACAAAGATAATAAATTTCAAATTTTCTACAGCTTTTCATTATAATCAACGTCTTTCGTGGGAGATCAAAATAAGCTGGCAACAATAGCAAAATGCTGTAAAGGTGACGACAGTGATTTTCTCCGAGTGTTTTCTAAATCCTTTCTTTCTATTAATAGTTGAGTTTTGTCGTTTAATAGCTCGAGAAATGTTTTTTAGTTTTCAGCTCTATAGCTGTTTTATTTGTTATGATATTAAATTGAGCGAGAAAAAAATTTTTCCCTTGTCTCCGTGTGTGTGTATTGGTGGGGGACATTGCATTTGTTTTAAGTCACGAGACTAAAAGTTATTCAATCACATTTAACATACACAGCACCAATACAACCGTGTTTAAGAATTGTTTTTGAAAGATGAAGAATTATTAGGCTAGTTAATGGTTATTGTTAGTTTCTATAAAGAGTTTATTATCCTTTTGAAATGTCTATGTTAAATTTAGATTTATCAATAAAGAATACAGATCACACTCTTCATTGCAAGTCATGAGTGGTTTTTAAGTATCCTCTCCGTGCTGGTGTTAACTAACGTTATGTTGGCAAAAGCACTTGCCATTTCTTGAAAAAAACATCTAAAGACCTCACACATTTACGTCAATACAAGAGCAACAACGACAAATCATGTTAGGAGTCCAAAAATCTTCTTTCTCTTCACAATTTTAAGGAAGATATTTTTGTAACACGGACAAATAATCAGCTTCACTTTCTTATATTTATTTATTTTGCCCTGTTTAGTTTCAAGTGGATAAACGGACCTGTTGGAACAGCTGATCCAAACCAAGAGATACCTTATGAACATTTATTTATCACAGTTGATAAACGGGAAAAAATGTCGGAAGAACAAATAAAGGAAGAGATCGACAATGAGTTTGAATGGGAAGCGTCAAGATTCATCGAATTACGAAGTTCAGCATCGAAACCATTAAAGTTAAAATATTATGGTCATGTTCGTTTATCAAATACGTCTCAAGATATTAGTGTTAACATTTGTTTTAAATGTGAGCTGACAATGTTCTGTCGTAAAGATGAAAACTATTTCGCCTTGACCTATGCACATGACATCTGTAAAGGACAATGGATTCCCCTAGAATGTAATATGGCATATCATAAAGATCTTCCTGAGTTTATACGTACAGGTCAATGCAACTAACTTCATTTAATTGCACTTTAGGTTTTGTATTGCTATTGGCCGAGGACAAACGTCTCAGCTAGGGTAGAGAAGCTGGAATTGCCGGACAAACATGGTTGGAAAAAACATAAAGTTGGAATATTCACATTTGCAGGTTAATATGATGTCTTGTGATTATAGTATGAATTTTTCATTTAGGTTACATTTGTTTTGGATTTCTTGTTATTTCCACTTTGATTGTAAATCATTGCTATGTCCTAATGGTGTAGGAATTTTTTATTTTCAGAATTTTTTACAAACTTGCTGCCAGCTGTTTCACATTTTCTCCACTAAAGGCCTCAAAAGTGCTATAAACGATTTAATGCTCTGTTTTCTAAATTTAAACCTTTCTTTTACTTAGACAACTTTAAAAGTGCCCAAAAGTTCGCTAGAAGAGCCATTGCCACTTCAAACATTGAATCAGATGATGAGTCAATCAACGACAAGCCACGAAAACGTCCTCGTCTCAAAAGGAGTATGGAAGAATTTCCAGATTACAGTGACATAGAAAGTAGGTTATATAGTATTCTAGATATTTCTCTCAGATCACAACAACTTACGTACACAGTAACACAGAAAAGTGTTTTATTTCTACTGTTATAACTACCTACGTTCGTATATGGCTGTAGTCAATGATAGATTTTGTGTGCGAAACACAATAATTTCTTTGAATTTGGCTATGTCTTCTTTCTTAAGATGGGAAAAGATAGGATTAAGACTGAATGTAATGCCGTAGTTACTTAAATATTACATCTTTGGCAAGCATTAAATTAACCATATTTTAGTATTTTTAGTATAGCTTGAGTACTCAATAAACATTGTTATGCGATGATCAGGTATTTTTTCTCATCAGACGATGATGACAGTGATGAAACCGTAATTCAACACAGAGCCCCTCAGTTACCTCCTGCTCCACGTTACGCATCTTTTAGTATGAACAATAAGCATTTATTGGAATCTTCTGAAAGTAATATGATAACAGCCGTCATTGAAATCTTATCAACAAATTCTAGAAGTAAGTACTGTAGTTACAATGCAATAGGGCATTGCTTTATTCAAAGGAGGGCAGTTTTTCACATATTGCTACGTTGCATTTAAATCTAATGAGTGAGTTTGCTTTTTAGATTTGCCGGTGTACAGCGAGCTGATCTCCTTTGAAGAAAAAGGCATAAGCGCAATTATAATCCTTGTACAAGTGGACAAATTTTTGACAGAAACATGCATGTATAAAATTTCTCTTTTCATCCTAATATAATGTTGATCTGGATTTATATGACGGTGAACTAGCACCAGAAATCCTAAACACAAAGGATCATGCAATAATTTCCCCATCTACTAGTAGGACACCATCACAGCGTAGTGGTATATTACCGACCTCGAGTAACATGACTTGACTCGCGAGTATCGAATGGCGAGTCATTCGAGAGTGACGAGTTGCGATTGAGCGAGTGACTCGCGATGCAGTTGCGAGTCACTCTCGAGTTTGAGAAGTTTGCGAGTGAATATAATAGCTCGCTGTTTTCGAGTGAATCAAAATAACTCGCAAAAATATCTTTCTCCAGTATTTGAAATTGACAAACATAATGTTAAGTGTAGTGACAAGTAAAATTCGTTCAACATTTTGAAGGCAACTGTTTTATATCTTTTTATGAAACATGGGAGCAAAACGACTATTCATTTGAAGCAATATCTCGGGATCTAATGACAAAGGCCATAAACATTTAATAGCAAGAACGATATGAAACCACGTGTATAGTAAAACCACGTGTATAGTAAAACCACGTGTATAGTAAAACCACGTGTATAGTAAAACCACGTGTATAGTAAAACCACGTATAAAACCACGTGTATAGTAAAACCGTAAAACGTGTATAGTAAAACCACGTATAGTAAAACCACGTGTATAGTAAGACCAGTATAGTAAAACCACGTATAGGAAACCACGTGTATAGTAAGACCACGTGTATAGTAAAACCACGTGTATAGTAAAACCACGTGTATAGTAAAACCATGTGTGTAGTAAAACCACGTGTATAGTAAGACCTTTATATCGATAGCGACTACATCCAAAACTCCAGGTCAACGAAGTTCTTTCAGAATCGAATTCAAAAGATTATACGTACACTCATCGCATAGCTAGATTTCATAAATATTTGGCTTTAAAGAATATTCGTTTTTTGAATGCTTTCTTTCCTAAGATTATATATGTCCTTAATCTAAGACTGTTAGAAGAAAATGTTTGAGCGCTATTTTCATTTACTCATTGATTGCGTGCCATTTACTTTACATTTCTCTATGGTCTCTACCGCTTTACGACGCCACTACACTTAAGATTATGTTTGTCAATTTCAAATACTGGAGAAAGAAATTTTTGCGAGTTATTTCGATTCACTCGCAAACAGCGAGTTATTTTATTCACTCGCAAACTTCTCACACTCGAGAGTGACTGGCAACTTCATCTCGAGTCACTCGCCTTTCGATACTCGCGAGTCAAGTCATGTTACTCGAGGTCGGTACTGTAAGTTTTCTGTCATCAGAACTGACTAATCAACAACTTTCATATAATATGTCGACTAAAATGTTGAAATAATTTTGATTGATTCTTTTTAACTAACTTTTACATTCGTATTGTACATTTACTGCTTTTCTACGCCCATGGTTGCATTATAGGGCTTATGTATGTTCTACAGGTGCTGCTGGCGTTGGTCCTTTAAAACGTTGTTGTAATTAGTTGAAAAAATGTTAGTTATAGTTAAAATTGCAGTTGTGTTCACCACGATTTAATCAAAATACATTCGTTCGAATCTAATTCTCAGCGTTTGCTATCAAACTACTAAATGAAACTTTCTCGAGCTTTTTTATTTTAGTCATCTTTCTGTTTCTGACTTTTGAAACTTGTAGTGCCTTAATTTAAATGACGTTCGTGCGTGCAATAAAGATATATGTTAAACCCAGTACATGTCTTCTCTGTAGATAAAGGGTAACGTTTCTTCACAAGGAATTCCTACAACTGGCACAACAAAAGAAAGACATTCTCAACGAAACAGTGATGTCTTAGGCAAGCTTTTCTTACCATTGATTATTGCATGTCTTGTTGTTACGTTTTCATTTACGTTCATTTCGTGTTGTTTGAAATGTTTTTATTTTCTTCACAACTAACTGCAACACGTGATTGCTTTGCAGATGCACATGACCTTTCATCGAACGAAACGCCTTCGACAAGTTTTATGAACATAACACCTGCAGGAAGACGTTCTCAACCAAACATTAATGGTACCTTTTCTACAGTATATAGTTTTTGAATAGCGTTGTTATTATGTATGCGTATTCAACTAGCAATTTGATGCGAGTTTTTATTTGAATTTTCTTGTTAGCATGTTGTAAGGTTTATATTTTTAAGATATTACGTAGGTTATACACAAGTTATTCTATTATTTTCTTATCTATCTTGTAAACTTCCAAAGATCAGTTCTCACCAAACTGGAAACATTAATTGATAAGCATGAAGAAGCGTTGTCAATATTGCGTGCTCTGTTAAGCGCTACGAAATGTGTAGACGAGCACGAAATTTTGGATAATGTTGTACCTAATCCCTTTGATTCGGTTGAAGAACTGGAGGAGCTATCCTCTAGTCTTGATGAAGAAAAGTCCAGAGGAAAGTTGGTAAGTTTTGGAAAGTTAACCACCCATACGTATTTAGTAATATTTATTGTCACCGCCTATTTTTTATGCATGACTCTTCCAAGTGTTACGTAAAAATATGTGACAAAGGAAGACATAGCCCTTCCCCTTTATCGGTTTGGAAACGTGAAAACGATAGTTTTATTTGCAATTACGTAACATAATATTGACTTTTCTTCCACCATTTGTGTTTAAAGTTTGAAAACATGCACGTTTGTCAAAGTCTAAAACGTAATTTTAATGACGATTTTCGTGACGTTAGGGGGTCAGATTATCTGATTAAACTATATGAATCTAGCATCGTGTTTTTCGTGAGAGCATTGTCGTGTTCTGATTGATTTAAATACGTTACGATACTTCAAACGGATCTTAGGAGTGTGTCGTTTTATTTGTGCTGAAAAATTTTTGAATTGTGCTGAGAATTGCAGAAAGTGGTCTTTCTAAAAGCTCTCACCATTCACTTTGGATGGTTTTGTTTTGCAATTCGAGATCAAAATGGTTATATATATGTCTAAATTGAACTTTTCCGTATAATTTATCTTTTACTTTCTTTACTAGCTACTTGTTTTTGTAGCACTGTGCGCAAACACCTGTGCAAACAGTGTTAGAAGAATTATGACAAAGCTGGGAACAAATATTCTATGGTCCCAATATAGTTTAAATGGCAGAAAGACAAAGCGAGGAGCAGAGTGAAATAAGAAGAGCAGGCGAAACTTGATCACTGATTTAATTAGTTTTTTTTTCAAAATAGCTGGAATCTTATTAGGCTTTCATTATGAAATGATTGTGGATATTCTGGGATTTTGTCCCCTGCCCATTGTATCTGGAAGAAACAGACTTGGAAAGACAAAATCTTCAAAAGCCGCACTAAGTCTTGTAGGAAATGGATCAAACTTCTTTTCAGCAGTAAGGGAAAGATTCATCCCCAGGCTATGCAGCAGATCAACTTTGCCTCCCGTGCTCGACGACGTTAAGAGCCCCACAGTTATTGAAAATGTTGCGGTCTCTTTCTACAACAGTGGCAAAGACGGGACATGTGTTTTCGAAACAGCTCCTCGAACGATTCTGATGTTCACAGTCAATTGCGACACTTTAGAGGGATTGAACAATGACCCGAGGTAGATTTTTCCGTATTTATAGAAGAAGTTTGCTTTTTATTGCACTAATGTAATTTTTTCACGTGCTGTAGAGTACTTGGAAAGCTTGTCCTAATTGCCTTTCAAGAAGGAGCAAGAAGTCCTCTCGGAATCGAGAATCAACAGAACGCAGAATTCCAAAACAATGCAATAATGGATAGAGGGTCTAGTGCTTTTGGGACCATGGTGGCAATTAGCAGATCTGTCGAATACCTCTGTATAACGAGAACTAATGAGCTCTGTCAACAATTTACCATTGAAGCGCCGAACATCGACGACCGCTGTTTAAGAAATCATGCACTTTTGGTAGCATTTGCTGATAAGTATTAACCACATAACATGAAAAAATTGAGCAATAGCAAATGGCCACTTGCACAACTATAACATAGGTAATACGGCTGGCAAGTATTGATGATCTCTATCCAAGCAATGCCATCGCTTTTTTCAAACAAACAATCCTGCCAGTGTGGATGAAGCGATTCCAGACCAACAAAGGGCAAGTGTCTCATGCAATGCTTCAAACAGAACAGCCAATTATTGTGGACTTAATAATGAAGTCAATAGAGCACAAGATATCTTGCAAAAAACGTATGTAATAAATTCAATAATTAATCGCCCATAGACCAAATTCATAAAGTAATTGTGACATTTCTCATTTCTAGTTTCTCACTTGCGTGAATCCAAAAGTGACATTTAAGTCAAGCTCAAGCGGAGTAAGACTAAATGGAGTAGAAGTGGCACTGAAATGGTTTTTTGCTTTGCTAAAAGATCACGGAGTTCTGTTTACGAATGAAGAAAGAGTGAGACAAGAAATTAAGTCTCTCGACATTGGGGTGATCAATGGGCGAAGCCAGTATTTCAATGCAAATGCAAATGGTGAAAAGATCAGCAGAGTCTCAGATTGAGTAGAAACTGCTTCCAGAAACTGCGTAATTATACAGCAATCTGCATTTGGAAGTGAGAATTGGATTGTTTTTTCGGAAGGTTAGCATTTTTAACAACTAATTTTATACAGATGGAAGCAAGTGCGAAAGGAATACAAATGGAATAGACAGGCTATTCTTTAGTCATGTTATGTTAGTTTCAAAGTATTATCATTATCAGCTTCTTTAAAAATTTATTTAAGAACAGATGCTATTTAAAAAGAAATCTAAAGTGTATATTGACTAAACGTGTGATTGTCATTGAAAAGCCAAATAATAATAGTCATTATTTTTTTAGCCTTCAACATCTTAGATAAAATATCGCAAGAGACAGCTTGGGGTCCACCGCCGAAACCAGCATAAATGATTCAAACACAGCGTCTACGTCTGAAATGGAAATTGGTAAACGCAGCAGACCGTCAACATCTAGAACCAGAAGATACGACTCAAACACACCGTCCACATCCGACAATGAAAATGGAAGAACAAACACATCACGTGACATAAATGCAAACACCACGCAAAACTCACCCTTTGAGTGTGGTGGCACAACACCTGATGGACCTGACACACAATCAACATATGGTGCTGAATCAACAAATTTAGATGATAGTGGCATTAATCTGGAAGGTAAATACACTGATAAAAACTATTATGCTAAAGGTTCTTCTATTTGTCTCATATCTAAAAATTTTTATCATACTAACATTTTGTTTTTATACTGTCGTATTAGTGGAGTTGGGAGAAGTGGACAGAATTGATGTTTTAAACACAGTTAGTGCATCAAAGAAGAAGAGATGCAAGCAAATAGGGAGCGAACGAGACATGTTTAAAACAAAAAAGTTTAAGAACAAAGGTATATAATTAAAAATATTGTGTTTTGTGTAACGTGTTGAGAATAGTATGGTTATGAAAAATATAATTTCTCACCGTATAAATGAGCTATCCTGCGATGAGATTACCTAATTGGCTAGCAAAACAAAATATGTGACAGTTTGCCTTCATCATTCATTATATGAAATATGATAACAAGGCAGAAGTTCTCTAAGAAAACAACAAGTATATCTCTAAACAATTGGGGTTTTTTCGTGTACTTTTGATCATAATATACTATCATACTTTTCACACTTCGTTAGGAAAGGTCAAAGGACGAAGAAGACGAAATGATTGTTTGCGAGAACAGAAAAAGAAAAGCAAGAAAGGTTCAACATTTTTTATCGTTTTATTAATTGATTCGCCTCCTGCTCCTTTTGTAAAGCCAGGCCTTATATCAATAAAAAATACAAAGCGTTTAAAGATAAAATATTGGAGTTGTTTAGTAGATGTACCATGTATACTATCCTTTCAATTTTAGTGTCCAGGAAACAATTATTACCACATGGTCTGTTTGAAACTTAAAGTTGTACCAGACACCGATCCTTGGTAACAGAATTAGACATTAGTTACGTATAGTGAAAGACAGTATTCAAACTGATGGATTGAATGTGATTTCTTTTTAAGGTTCTGTCCCAGTTGCCGAGGAACTAACAGCAAGTTATCAGTAACTGGCATATGTGTACATAATTTAATTGAACGTTTAATAAAACTTGATTTTGTAATACTAATGATGTGTGTTTCTATTTAATATAACTTGGTGAAACAACTAAGAATTGTGATGAAGTTGTTCAAAGGAATGCACTTCAACACAACAGACTATACCTCAAAACCCAATTAAGATGAGACAACTCGATTAATCGACGATGCCTTACTTGGGGGGAGGGGGGAGGATTTCAAATGAACATACTGAATATTCAAAAGTTAATCGAAACGCGATGTCAAGTGATAAAACAAAACTTTAAAGTAATGAAAATAGAATTAACCACAAAACTCAAAATATTAAAAACGACTAATATTCGATAATTTCTAATTAGCAGCAATTTTAAAAAACACTTGAGAAAAACGACGATTTTTTTGAGAGCAAACATGTTTCGACATTATCAGAATGCCATCTTCAGTGCAGAATGATTAGTGTTAAGTAATATGATACATAATATGATATGAGTAAATTAATTACAATGAGTATTAAGTATTAATAACTATAACGTAAGTTCTAAAAATAAGTATTAAGAATTTATAACAAAAGTATTATTATAAAGTAAATATAGTGTTGTAGTGGTGAACTTGGATATTTAAATCGGGATTAGTTTTATTAATGTGTAGAGCTTCCTTGATTTTAAGTGAGAAAGTGGATTGATCAGTGTCGATGATTTTAAAACAGGAAGGTGAGAATTTGTTTTTACATGAAGGAGAGGCTTGAAGATGTTTGTAGATAGTGGAGTTTTTGTCTGTGTGAGTATGTTCCTTTATCCTGGTAGATAATTGGCGAGAAGTTTCACCAATATAACGGGAATTACATCCCGCACATGAAAATTGATAAACTACCATAGATTTGGAAAGTTCGGGAAGTGGGTCTTTAAACGGATTTTCATATTTTCGAAAATCCTTGTCGGATTTTCGAAATTATGAAAAGCTTACAACTAAGAAACGCAAGGCTGAACTTGATGTCGCCTTCCTTAAAGATTGCAATTCACTTGGAGTTTTTCCAAAGTTCCTGTGTTTTCCACTGCCTAATGTTGACAATCGAGATACATACCACATTCGAAAGCGTTTACTACGAACTACGATAACGAAGAGATCTAAAGAACGCTACTGCACTGACATTGAGGTTAAACTTATTTTCACATCTTTCAAAATAAAATCTTTATTTTCGTTTAAAGACCCACTTCCCGAACTTTCCAAATCTATGGTAGTTTATCAATTTTCATGTGCGGGATGTAATTCCCGTTATATTGGTGAAACTTCTCGCCAATTATCTACCAGGATAAAGGAACATACTCACACAGACAAAAACTCCACTATCTACAAACATCTTCAAGCCTCTCCTTCATGTAAAAACAAATTCTCACCTTCCTGTTTTAAAATCATCGACACTGATCAATCCACTTTCTCACTTAAAATCAAGGAAGCTCTACACATTAATAAAACTAATCCCGATTTAAATATCCAAGTTCACCACTACAACACTATATTTACTTTATAATAATACTTTTGTTATAAATTCTTAATACTTATTTTTAGAACTTACGTTATAGTTATTAATACTTAATACTCATTGTAATTAATTTACTCATATCATATTATGTATCATATTACTTAACACTAATCATTCTGCACTGAAGATGGCATTCTGATAATGTCGAAACATGTTTGCTCTCAAAAAAATCGTCGTTTTTCTCGACTTATAATCGATTGTTAAGAAATATGCGTTAACTCAAAAGTGAATGATTGTAGCTTTCTGTCATATGAATGAGGGGTAAAAGGGTTTTTTACCACTCCTGTAGCATCTAACAGTGTATTTGTTCTATAGCACGCAGTATTTTCTTGAATCTAGTAAGCCCGACAAAAGTCTATTCGAGCCAATGGTTCTAGCAGTCAAAGTCATTGTGTTTCCATTGATCTATGTGGGGTTTCATTTTGGGAAGGCAGTGTTGACAATTGGTGTTCAGTTGCCAGATCGTAAATTAAGGTCATAGATTAGTGAACTTTTGACGAACACTGAAATATAGCTTAGTGAGTTTCTTTTAAATTTTACGAAATTTTTAATAAAAAAGTATTCAATTCTAACGACTGGACTGTAATACCTCGACAATGGTCCAAAATCATTGAAAATTTCTGAGTTAATCAGACTTGTTCCAGCAATTTCCAATGTCAAAATTTAATATAAAACTTTTGACATAAGAGAGCATGAACATTTCATCTAGTTGAAGAAATGCAGGAGACTGTAGTTTCCCATCTTTATGATTTCTGATAAAAAATATGTCAATTATTTTATGAATTTATCTCAATGCTTATTCCATGACAAGACATAACGACACTCGAGTGTGGTTCTGTGATCAGTCACAATATTGTATTCTCATGTGATGCGCTATTACAGTCCATTGTGATGTAATGCTATACATTGTAATGTTGTGATACATTGCAATAATAAAGATGATGCGTTGTTATGCATTGTGATAAATTGTGATGTATTTTGATGTAGTATGATGGATTGTGATGGATTGTGATACATTTTGATGCATTGTGATGCATTGTGATACATTGTGATGCATTGTGATGGATTGTGATGCATTGTGATGCATTGTGATACATTGTGATGTAGTGTGATACATTGTGATACATTGTGATGCATTGTGATGCATTGTGATGCATTGTGATGCATGTGATGCATTGTGATGCATTGTGATGTAGTGTGATACATTGTGATACATTGTGATGGATTGTGATACATTTTGATGCATTGTGATGCATTGTGATACATTGTGATGCATTCTGATGGATTGTGATGCATTGTGATGCATTGTGATACATTGTGATGTAGTGTGATACATTGTGATGCATTGTGATGTAGTGTGATACATTGTGATGCATTGTGATGTAGTGTGATACATTGTGATGCATTGTGATGCATTGTGATACATTGTGATGTAGTGTGATACATTGTGATGCATTGTGATGTAGTGTGATACATTGTGATGCATTGTGATGCATTGTGATACATTGTGATACATTGTGATGCATTGTGATGCATTGTGATGCATTGTGATATATTGTGATGCAATGTGACGTAGTGTGATGTAGTGTGATACATTGTGAAGCATTGTGATGCATTGTGATGTAGTGTGATGCATTGTGATGCATTGTGATACATTGTGATGCATTGTAATGCATTGTGATACATTGTGATGTAGTGTGATACATTGTGATGCATTGTGATGTAGTGTGATACATTGTGATGCATTGTGATGCATTGTGATACATTGTGATGCATTGTGATGCATTGTGATGCATTGTGATGCATTGTGATACATTGTGATGTAGTGTGATGCATTGTGATGCATTGTGACACATTGTGATACATTGTGATGCATTGTGATGCATTGTGATGCATTGTGATGCATTGTGATGTAGTGTGATGCATTGTGATGCATTGTGATACATTGTGATACATTGTGATGCATTGTGATGCATTGTGATGCATTGTGATATATTGTGATGCAATGTGACGTAGTGTGATGTAGTGTGATACATTGTGACGCATTATGATGCATTGTGATGTAGTGTGATGCATTGTGATGCATTGTGATACATTGTGATGCATTGTAATGCATTGTGATACATTGTGATGTAGTGTGATACATTGTGATGCATTGTGATGTAGTGTGATACATTGTGATGCATTGTGATGCATTGTGTACATTGTGATGCATTGTGATGCATTGTGATGCATTGTGATGCATTGTGATACATTGTGATGTAGTGTGATACATTGTGATGCATTGTGATGTAGTGTGATACATTGTGATGCATTGTGATGCATTGTGATACATTGTGATACATTGTGATGCATTGTGATGCATTGTGATGCATTGTGATATATTGTGATGCAATGTGACGTAGTGTGATGTAGTGTGATACATTGTGACGCATTGTGATGCATTGTGATGTAGTGTGATGCATTGTGATGCATTGTGATACATTGTGATGCATTGTAATGCATTGTGATGCATTGTGATGTAGTGTGATACATTGTGACGCATTGTGATGCATTGTGATGTAGTGTGATACATTGTGATGCATTGTGATGTATTGTGATACATTGTGATGTAGTGTGATGTAGTGTGATACATTGTGATGTAGTGTGACGTTACGTAATGCATCACAAACTTTTATACTGTTTAGCCAAAAAATATATCGTGCATGGTATATTAAGCTGCATACATCTTATTGTATGATATAGAATCTAAAGACAAGGCAATGAATAAGAGATTATTACACACAGAATATTTTTTTTAATAGCAACAAGAACTGTTTTAGATTTTTTACCTTCATTTATCCATTTACATGGTTTTATGTTGGAATCATGAGCACATTTGTCAAATAAAGGGTCTGAAAATCCACTGAGTTGGTTTTTGACATGACCAAGGAAAGTTTTAACTTAGTAACAATTACATTTCCGTTACCAGAAGGTGTTGATGTAGCACTCCAGTACAAATGGTTGGAACAAGGTCTGATTCAGCTTGATAAAGACTCACATCCAGCACATTTTGCAAGTTTGGTCAGGACTTTGGTCACTTCTAAGATGAAATATAAAATATATATTAGATACACACTTTACTTATTGATGCCAGTATAGGTAGTAAATTGTATACTAGCTATATGTTAAATTTTTGCTTCATAAAGTACTGCTACATTAACTACAAAAATCATTACTTTTTGTCAATTTCCAAAGGTCAAAGTAGTGAGTAATACTTGGACAATTCTCTCACAGATATTTGGCAATTTGTGTTTGCCTGTCAGTGATTAACATGGAGATGGGAATATTGCGAGATTTAAGAAAATCCATTGATCTTTTAAATTCCTAAAACTCCATACCAGTGCTATTTCAAACTTAATTTCTCAAAAAAATAGCAAATAGGAAAATAATTTTAAAGAACAAAATCACATAATTCAAAGAAATGTACCTGCACAAGAGAAAAACTAATGATTTGAGGTACTGTGCAACAGAATGTTGTATATGCACAATATTTAGAACAATGTCCCATGGAATCGTGTCATCCCCGGCAGTTGCAATAGGCTGTTTACATGCCATCACTTTCTCTATCAAAATGTCTTGGTATTTTTTCCAGTATATCACCAATGCGGGATACAGTTTTTACTACACAAAATTTTAAAAAGACTTTCAAGCTTTTCATTTGATTGTAGTAATTTCTTTACAACTTTCTTTTACACTATCGGATAAGTCTTACTTATACGCTGGTGAGACAAGTATGTACTCAATGAAATGCATGCCAATCCCATGTGCTGTAGAACTCTGATCACCTTTGTCGCAGAGGTTCCAGCAGTCAAAATACCAAATGACAATAGCAAATTTCCAGCAGGAATGGAATTCTCAGTCATGACTGGTTGACTATTCCATGTTGTGTCTGCTTCATATTTTTGATTGGAACAACTAACTTTCACTTTTGCCATTGAACCATTTTGCAATATCTCAACAAGAACATCATCTGTTTTGCAAATTGGGCAGACTTTAAAAAATGCAAACAGTTGTGCCAAGAACACAATGAAGTTTTTCTCTGTTCTTAGGTTGGTGTCTTTGTTGAGCACTCTGCAAAAGAAAAAAACTCAATTTATGAAATGCAATAGTAGCTATCAATAAATACAATTACATACTGGCACACATTTGTGTCATCAAGGTAGTGACTGATTAAATAAGCTGTTTAACTTTGATTTATTTAACAATCACCACTATTTTAACATTGCCATGGTGATTGATAAATTACAGTTCTCATCCAAAAATTGTTACCTTTTAAATGCTCTTGGCTGCTTTGATTCAGAGTCAACATCCATGTCACTAGATGTGATTATCTCTTCTGTCTCAGTCTGATAACGTTGTTCAGCACCAAGATCAATCTCTGAGTCTGAGTCACCACTAAGATCATTTGGGTCCAAAACCTCCTCAGCAGGACAACTATCAAGATGAACCACTTTGCTAGTAGTTGATGATTCTTCATTGCTGCTGTTGTTGTCATACTCATCTATGAAATAAGATACTTCAGTAATGCACAGCTACACAAGGTTGATTAAGTCCATATTTCTTAGTAATTAACTTCAATAATTTTCCAGTGGTGCATGCAAGCTTACTTGGTAGTATTGTAGAAATTGAGGTTATTAAACATGGCTGAACCTATTACGTTGGCAAATCTTCTCTTGACCTACAATCATACATGAAATAAAATTAACAGGCGCATCATCTTAAAAAACACTTACCCGCTACAAGTATATCCATATTAGAACTGCTTGCATATGTTCTGCTACACTGAAGCTTATGCTTTGCCCCAAGATATAAGTTCCTGTAACGACGTTTCTTATTTTCAAGTTTTAAACAATTTTGGCATTGTAATTTACATTGCACAGCTACTTCCTAAATTAGAAACAAAAGCAATACATATACAAAACAATAATTTACGTTAACCCTTACAGCATTGGTGTAATAATCATATAAGTTTACCTTCTCTAATACAGGCTTATCACAAGTTGTTTCTTTTATTTGCTCTTGAGGTTCGCTACTTGTACTGGGAATATTTTCTGATTTAACCTCTCTTTTATAATCAGACATCCACTTTCTTTTCATCTAAAATGGCATATATTTATGAAATATACTCTCACACAGATTCCAGGTAAAATGTAGGTTGCATATTTATAATTTTTAACGTACTCACCATTCGGCGATCTCTTGTTGTAAGTTCATTGTCATCTTTTCGAGGATAAATGCTCGGGTAAGCAACGATTCCGAATTCGTCTCGAATGAGTCGAGGTGCAAACTTGCTTTCTGATTCAAAAAACGAGCCGAATTGCCGAGAAAACGAATCTTTTGTGAAGTGTTCCGAGCAAACTGCGGAATTCTTTGTGGGGACCCACTTATCGCAAGTAGCTTTCCCAAAGTTGACCCATCGCTTTCTCCAAACTTGGCTTCGCTTCTTTCGTCGTTAAAAAATGGTATGCGATGAAGTGAAATACCTTCCTCCGAACTGGTAACGTTAGAGAAACCAAAAACTACACATCGATCTGGCATTTTTGCGTTTTTTTACGTGTATAAACAGTGTAAGTTGTTTTGATAGTCAGTCTGTGTTCCTTAAATGACGTCACAAGTAAGTCCCATGCCACGGATTAGAGCTCTCGACATTTTTTACAAAACGTTGAAATTCAGGTTTTATTCGTATCTTTGCCGAAAGATAACTCAAAAACGAAAAAAGTTATACAAATTCTGTAAACGGCATTTGTATTATTTATTCAAAATCTATTTGAGAATAAAAAATTAGAAATAGTTGTAATTTCCTAACGCACCTTAAAAGTTGTCAAAATTCCAGACTCCAGTGGATTGTGCTTTGTATAAGATATTTAATTTTCAACAATAGGTGACAGTTTTGGTATGTTTGGGACAACTAATAGAATATTGATGAATCAGCTGTAATTTTTAACAAAGATCGAGACGTGAACGCAATTGAATACCATAAAATTTACACATTGCAGCTACAGGACATGCAAATCTCATGCAAGAAACTCGTTGAATTACGTTTACGCCTCTTTGGGGATCGATTTGTGCTGAACCATAGAAATTTTACATTTCGACTGATTTCAAAGACTAGCAGTTTTGGATATGTAAAGGTTGTTTGAATTTGAGTTAATATGAAAATACTGATCCAAACAAGCAAAGTTATCATATTGCACCATAGTACTGAATGTGTACTTTTGTTTGATGCAAGACAAAATGTGTACATGGGACACTGGGTCTTTTGAATAGATAAAATTGGGAATTTATTTGCATTTTTGGTCATTTTGGATGGAGATTATTGTAGATCTATCTTGCTTTTAGTTGTTTGATCATTGGCGTACTAGAATCGTTTATTGGAAGGGGGGGGCACAAATTCATATATGCATGTCTTAATCCGTTGAAAACAATCGATTTTAAAAGAACTTAATGCAGCAGAACATTTATATATGAATCTGTGCCTCCCCCTAATTTAATGAGTCTGTTACACCACTGTGTTTGATGATTGTTCAGTGAGGATGTCCACTTGACTAGAGGAAAATTTGAGATAATTTTGTAAAGCCTCTCTGGATTTAGAAGTCGAAAGTTTAATTGAATACTGTCTCAGTCGTTGGTTTTATTTAAGAAATCTACCCGAAGCAATGGATCGGTGCTGCTTGCCGGAAATGGAAAAGACAGGAGAGGAAAAAGTTGTGTAAGGTGAATTTTCGTTTAAAGGACATTGGCAACGAAAATTTTTTTTTCATACGTTTATCATAGATAGCCATGGAATACTTAATTTCGTGTTTTCGTGTCTCTTTTGAATTTTGCTGTTGAGAAAATTTGACATAAAGTTGAATCCTTATCCGCCATTTTGGAAAAAAAGGCTTATGCTAAATTATGCCGGAATACATTACTGACGTCATTGGCTGGTATCCACTGAATGACACAATATAAAATAATAGTATTATAATAATATATAGCACATTTGTTCACTGGAATTTTAAAACAAAAACAACAGTCGGCGGTTGTTAAGATTAACAAAAGTTGTGTAGTTTATCACGCTTATATACTTTTCCAATATTTAGTCGTTATAAGACGTAGAAACGTTTATTTTAGCAGATCTTACAATTAGGCTTTCCCGACATACCAAGTGTAAGCCCAGACAACAACAAGCGCGTTTTATACACTGCACATTTCGTGCAATAGAAATATTTCATTTTCCCATATTACAAACCTGTGACCAACTAATGAGTTATACGTTTAATTTATTATTTGTATACATAAGAGTCTTTGAAAGATTATGTAGTTTTATATAGGTGATAAGCTCTAAGCCGCTATGTTTTGTTCTTGACTGTAGAGTTTCGTTTATCCGTAATGTTTTACGCGCGTGTTTGCGTGCACAATGTACAAGTACACTTTTCGATTAACTTTATAACTTATGAATGAATACAAGTTTTGGGTGGATCACTCATGCATTTTGCTTTTGCGCAGTTCGTGACAATCCTTTGACAATGATATGGCATCGCAATTGCAGATCGTAACAAAGAACATCAATGAGCGTCTGTCTAAGACTAAATTTACGGTCTTTCGTGATAACATGCGTATTTAAAATGAGTATAAAGTCCGCCTGGTGACGCGAAGCGTTTTCGTATGCTAGCATAAACACAAGGATCGTGACTAAAACACCACACGAGTACATACGAGTACATACGAGTAACATACGAGTACATACGAGTACATACGAGTATATACGAGTAACATACGAGTAACATACGAGTACATACGAGTGACATACGACTATTTTCTGGTCAACAAATGATAAACAACACAATTTCTTCAATACATTGATATTTGCGTTTATTTTTCCTTGTATTTGTGTGGACTTTGGGGCAACCATTCGATGGATTTAAATGCTGAAAAGGTATTTTACTTTCATACTACATTCGTTTGTATGTTTTAGTTGAATTTGTTATAGATATTTTGTCGATGCGATTTGCCAGTATTTGAGCGCTTTTTGACACACTTTCACCTAGGAAATACATATTTATGAAAGCGATTAAATAAACAACGTATAAATAATGCTTTCAAAACGTGCTATATGAAATAAATGTACATTATATATACTTGAATTAAATGAGAGTTGCACTGTGTTACGTATCATATTATGCGTAAAATTTCAGCTTACTTTTAATGTTTTTAAAGTTCTAGCTGATATAATTCAGTCTTTTAACTGAAAAATCAGTATCTTAAAGACCAAAATGAATGTATAATCGCTTTCATAAATATGTATTTCCTAGGTGAAAGTGTGTCAAAAAGCGCTCAAATACTAGCAAATCGCATCGACAAAATGTCTATAACAAATTCAACTAAAACATACAAATGAATGTAGTATGAAAGTAAAATACCTTTTCAGCATTTAAATCCATCGAATGGTTGCCCCAAAGTCCACACAAATACAAGGAAAAATAAACGCAAATATCAATGTATTGAAGAAATTGTGTTGTTTCTCATTTGTTGACCAGAAAATAGTCGTATGTCACTCGTATGTACTCGTATGTTACTCGTATGTACTTGTATGTTACTCGTATGTACTCGTATGTTACTCGTATGTACTCGTATGTACTCGTATGTTACTCGTATGTACTCGTATGTACTCGTGTGGTGTTTTAGTCACGATCAAACACAAGCAGGAAATGGTCTTCGATGTTTCTTCCCCAAAATTTGAAAAATCCACCTAGAACATCTTTGATATGCGACTAATCGATACAGCTTGTGTATTCTCTCTAAATCCTCATCAGACAGGGGCCAGTTTTTCTTCAAGATGCCGACACACGTCTATCTTTAACACACTTTCTGAGAGCATATTGTCCCTAAATTCTTGGTGTGTTGTCAAGCAATTTATCCTTGAGTTTCTGTTTGGCCTAGCAAAGCCTCATACTCATCGTATTCAAGTGCTTTTTCGTGGCAACAAAAACACTCGATTGCCTTTTTTGACAAAGTACAATGTCCACACTTACACCAACTAAGAGTTTGAAGGCGCCAAGCATTTGCTTTCTCAAATTCAGCATGTATTTCATCCTCCGACGAGGACAAGTCGCTCTGCTCACTCTCCTGTTCGGAACCGCTTTCTTCGCTTGTTTCGGCCTTCACTTCAGGTTCATATTGATTGGGCAGAACCTCACCCGGTTGATTTTCGCGTATGTCATCCATTACAGCAAAAAAATCCTGTAAAATACGCTTTAAATGTGTTGTAACGCAGTCAATCACAAAGTATATTGTATTGTTGTTTTGACTGCTCACCAGCCAATGACGTCACTACCGCTCGAGATAATTTTTTCAAAATTTTATCCAAGATGGCGCAATTTATAAAACTTTTGCTGCAAATATGTCAGCAACAAAATATTTTTGAGAAAAAATTTTTCTATTTTAGTTGTTAGACATCACAAAGGTTCAAAAAATGCCATAAAAATTTTCGTTGCCAATGTCCTTTAATTTAATTTAGCATCTATTATATTTCACAATTAGAATCATAGGTAGGTGAGATATAGCAGCTCAATGCCTAGTTTTCCGAGATAAAATTATGATAAAAACATGGCGACCAACGGAGTCCGCTACTGACAATACAAAGAATTATAGTCAATGAAGGCCATGTTGTATGCTCGAAGCATTTCGCGAAAGTGGTTCGATTTTTTCCATTTTTGTCTAAGCAGGCGGGATTGAATTTGTCTTGTGAAAGCGGGGAGATATTTGACTCGCACTGTGGATTGTTTTTTTAACCAGGCTCTCATATCAACAAACCCTAAAAGTTAGTTACGTTTCAAAGGATGAGTCAAAAATTAAAGAGCAGGCATTATCAAAAGAAATCATTTTTAATGATAAAAATATGATGGACATCCTAATACGATAACATCTTACAAATGACGTCTAAAGAAGTTATTTAAAAACACAATTACATGTCTGATTGCTGGTCTCACATGATTGCCATGTTAATTCTATTTTTATAACCATGGAAGACCTTGTGGTTTTCACATGCTGTTCACGTGTATTGCTCACTTGAACATTGTTTTTGTGGAAAACAACATAACAAAAAACCAACCAACTGCAAAATGATAATGACGTGTAAGAAACTCATCTCATGTATAGAAAAATATACTTTCAGGATTTTGTAGAACAAATTAACTTTATATAAATACGGTTAGGGCCCCGAGACTGAACATTAAAATAACACAGACAAAATTTATGACACTGTCTAATAGTTACACGGAGAAGTTTGTTGGACACCACTAACAGATTACAAAATGATATAGACAACAGACGGTTACGAAAATCTACTGTTTCTGTCGAAATATTTCTTTCAGAAATAGTATTTCACAAGATATTCAAATAATTCATTCCTGTATAATATTTGTTTAGGTATTGATTCATTATACAACAATATATTGTTAAAAATATGTACATCAGCTTCCCTGGATTTATATGGTTTGTCGCTTTGGACAATATAATGTCTGCTGTTGCGCTTGTGGAAAATTGTGAAAACGCATTTTAACTTAGCGATTTTTTAAAACTTTTCCTTGGAGTTAAGAGATTATTGATCTGTTGTTATGTTTGACACAGCTTTATTCTTTAAAGTGCTTATCTCACAATTTCTTTTTCGAATTTTCGTATTGCTTCTTCAAAAGTAATGTAAAACTTATATTACAATTTTTTCATGCGCTGCATTGTTTTCGAATTATTATTGATCAAATATGAAATTTGACAATAAAAGTTGATAATTGGAATAGGGCCTGGATCAAGTCTCTGTGACGTAACTTAACCCTGGAGGGCCCAAACTTTCCTTCCTTAAAAAAAAATTTTTTATCAGTCAAGAACACTTACTATGGGCCGGTTAAACATAACAGAGGTCTTTTTTAAGAATTTTGTGCAATCCGAACAAATTGGGCAAATGGGTCATATGTGACCCATTGGGCCTTCGTGGGTGTTAAGTAATACAATACACTAACAACAAAATAATGACTGTTTATTAAAATTGTAACCGTTTAAAAAAAAGAACTATGATAAAACTGTATGTGTCTGGTAAAATATATAAATGGGTAATTTAAAAAAGATTTGAACATGGCAAAAACTATTTTACATGATATACCTTATAACAATTTCGGCGTTCATTGAAACATAGTGGAATGTTGCATTTTTCACAGTATGTATCCGTTTTTATCGTTTTGCATACAGCACATCTACGTCTTTTTTCCCCTTATATGGCCAATGTGCAACTTGGTCATATCGTACGTCCTGACATGGTTCTACTCTTACCACCTTCGGTGCCTTTGGGGTACACTTCTCCTCAGATGGTCTACCACGTTTTTTGCTGGTTCCAACGTCCGTCAAACCTTGTGCAACCATTGCCTGGAATTCACGGATGTATTTCAATTCAGGTTTCAAGTTATGAAATATAGACATAAACGTGCAATTTTCTATTCAAGATTACCATTGCTTTTTTTATTTACTTTTGGGTAAAAAATTGTTAAAAGATGCTCGATTACAATTTTTTAATGTGATTTTCTTTATTGATCAGGTGCAAGTGTGGTTTTTGTCAAGTTACACTTCTTCAGAATCCTCTAGAGGCCTGGTGCTGCCAAGAACTTAAGTCTGTGGCTGAAAGCTTAACACACCAGTCGGTTCTGGCAGATCTGTCAACTATTCCATGTTGTGTCACTCTACACCCAGGTTTCAGAACAGTTCGTTTGGAAAAGTGGTCGCTAAAAATGGCTGCTAGGAAATACAAAACCAGAGAACAAAGACGATACAGAGAAACAGGATCTGAAAACATGTATGATAGCATATTATGTTATTTCCCAGTATTTAAGTATATTTTAGTGTTATGACACATTAGTAACGATTTGGCTTTATATTTAGGTTTTTACGATGTGTTGCGTACAGCGAATTCACATCTATGATTTATGGATGCTTAGGAGAAGAAAGAAGACCATTACCAGCATGTGCATACCATGCAATAAGATCAAAATTTAATGATAAAAAGTTGGAATTTAGAGGGTACGAAGAAAATGAAATAAATGAGTGATGTGAAAATTAAGTTTTCTTATTTTTTGGGCAATCTGCCACATGTTTGTGACCTTTCATTGGCTTCTTGCATGTCAAACATTTTGGCTGACTTTTTTCTTTTGAAACTGCCACTTTTGACTGACAGCTGAATGGCAAACTGGTAGCTGCTGGCATGAAACAAAAACATTTTTATTATTTAAAATGATTTTCAAACCATGTTTAGCTACAACATGTTATATAATCATTAATTACCTGGAATTGTGGGGGGACATTGACCACAATGCACGTGCGACGGACCTGTTTTACTAGCACCTCAGATCTGGGTTGCTTTTGCAGCATGACATTCATTGGTGGTGGGGACATTTCTTTCAAAAGATTTTGTGAATTTGATAATGCATCTTTGTCTTTTATTGACAGCATCGCACTCTCAAATAATTCATCCACAAACTCTAAAAAGAAATTATTGTCGTATTCAATACTATGAAATGATGCAAAGCAACACATTTAGCAACAACTTACCAAATTTGGGCTTAACTCTGACATCCCTCACAGTTCCTTCACCATTTTTAAACTTTGGATACACCACATTTATTTGGAAAGTGCCATCATTCTTCATCTTTACATCACGCCTTAAGTTGTTGTTGAAGTGGATGGATGACAAAATGTGTCTAAAACAATAAAGACTTATGGAAGTTGCAAAAGAACTAACATTGTCATATAGGAAATTTCTGCCCACCTGCAATACATTCCAACATAGGAATAATGAATCATTTTTGGAGCAAAATGATTCAGGACAGAATGGAATCCTTCCAAACAACTTGTTTGAGCAACTGGTGAAGCCTGGTGAATTGACTTCATCAGCTGTGGGTGTAACAATTTAGCAACTGTTTCATGAGCAACTGAACCTTAAACATTACAACAAAGAATGATGATAAACTGTTAGGGAAGTTATCTTTAAATAATGCCTTCACAAACCTTCTAACAAATATTCCCTTGGTTGAATATCAGGGCCATGAAAACAACTTGAAAACAGTGGATCATCCAAATTGGTGTGCTTGTCTACTATGTGACTCAGGAAAGATTTGAACTTTGCCCAAATTACTTTGCCATCACCATAATAAACAGCCGAATACTTAGTCGGTGTCCATCGAGCGCGCTTTCTTGCAACAAAATTCACCCAGATTTTACGTCTTCGCTTCGCTTCAGGACGCTCATCACCGTAAAATGGTATACGGTGAAGAGAAATTCCTTCCGCAGAATTTGCTCGGTTTGAACAGCCGAAAACTGCACATCTCTCAGAGATTTTGATGTAGAGCCGTAGTAGATAAAGAAGAAAAACTTCCTGTCCTTATGTTTCCTGTCCTTATGTTACGTCACATACTTCTCGATTCAGGCTCTCATCAAGCAAATTGAACGCGCAGCAATTTTCTCCATTGTTGCCGATTTTGAGAAAAGAAACGCATTTATCTCATAAACGAAGCCATCAATCAGAAAATTGTAAAATAACTTTTACAATGATTTTTTTACCTCAATCAGAAAATTCGAAAAAAAATGTGAGATAAGCACTTTAAATGATTTCAAAGTTAGCTGAATATGGTATTTTAGAAATGCTATTCTATTCTCATGCTAATTTTGCCATTGTCCATATAACCAATCGTAAATTGTTTATTGAAGATACAATATCATTATATGCACTTAAATAAAGTATATTTTCTTTAAAGCGCTGTACAAAACTTCAAACGTCATATCATGTTGGCCATCATCAACTTTGGTGAAAAGTTAGAACGATCTGATCGAGCTTAATGATTGTGATTTAAAGAAACGTTCTTTTCAGCAAATAAAAAGGTATGAGCAAATAAGTTTAAATTTCACTTACGTATGTATAAGTCAACAACGAAAACTTTGTTGTTGATTAAACGCCAGTGTTTAATTTGACTATAAGAAAACGTTAATACGTCAAGCTAACATGAAAATTTAGTAATTTCTCGTTTAATTGAATTTAATATCTATTATATTTCACAATTAGAATCTTAGGTAGGTGAGATATAGCAGCTCAAAGGCTAGCTTTCCGAGATGAAATTATGATAAAAACATGGCGACCAACGGAGTCCGCTACTGACAATACAAAGAATTATAGTCAATGTAGGGCCATGTTGTATGCTCGAAGCATTTAGCGAAAGTGGTTCGATTTTTCCGTTTTTGTCTAAGCAGGCGGGATTGAATTTGTCTTGTGAAAGCGGGGAGTTATTTGACTCGCACTGTGGATTGTCTTGTTAACCAGGGTCAAAAGAACTAAAAGTTAGTTACGTTTCGAAGCACGAGTCAAAAATTAAGGAGCAGACATTATCAAAAGAAATCATTTTTAATGATAAAAATATGATGGACATCCTGATACGATAACATCTTACAAATGACGCATAAAGTAGTTATTTAAAAACACAATTACATGTCTGATTACTGGCCTCACATGATTGCTTTAATAAAGCTATTTTTATAACCATGGAAGACCTTGTGGCTTTCACATGCTGTTCACATGTATTGCCCACTTGGACATTGTTTATGTGGAAAACAACATAACAAAAAACCAACCAACTGCAAAATTATGACGTGTAAGAAACTCATCTCATGTATAGAAAAATATACCTTCAGGATTTTGTAGAACAAATTAACTTTATATAAATATGGTTACGGCCCCGAGACTGAACATTAAAATAACGCAGACAAAATTTATGACACTGTCTGTAAATAGTTACACGGAGAAGTTTGTTGAACGCCACTAACAGATACAAAATGATATAGATAACAGACGGTGATGAAAATCTTCGGTTTCTGTCGAAATATTTATTTCACAAGATATTCAAATACTTCATTCCTGTATAATATTTGTTTAGGTATTGATTCATTATACAACAATATATTGTTAAAAATATGTACATCAGCTTCCCTGGATTTATATCGTTTATCGCTTTGGACAATATAAGTGCCTGTTTTTTCGCATGTGGAAAATTGTGAAAACGCAATTTCACTTACTGATGTTTTAAAACTTTTCCTTGGAGATAAGAGATTATTGATATGCTGTTATGTTTGACACAGCTTGATTCTTTAAATGATTTCAAAGTTGGCTGAATATAGTATTTTAGAAATGCTATTTCTATTTTCATACTAATTTGACCATTGTCCATATAACCAATCGTAAATTGTTTATTGAAGATACAATATCATTATATGCACTTAAATAAAGTATATTTTCTTTAAAGCGCTGTACAAAACTTTAAACGTCATATCGTGTTGGCCATCATCAACTTTGGTGAAAAGTTGAAACGATCTGATCCAGCTTAATGATTGTGACTTAAAGAAACGTTCTTTTCAGTAAATAGAAAGGTATGAGCAAATAAGTTTAAATTTCTTTTACGTATGTACAAATCAACAACGAAAACTTTGTTTTTAATTAAACGCCAGAGTTTAATTTGACCATAAGAAAATCATTAATACGTCAAGGTAACAAGAAAATTTAGTATTTTTTCAAAATAATGTGAAAGTTTATTTTCAATTAGTATGTATAGGAGTGAACGAAAATATAATGATTTAGTTCAAGTGAACCACAAATACTTGAATCCGAAATAAAACTTGTTAGTGGCGTATCTAGCGGTTTCATTTGTTTGTGTGTCTCAGCCTTTGATTGGGATTAAAATAAAAAAATTGTTACGGTTATTTTAGTACTTGTTTTCTGACTGTTGTCAATGGAGAATGTTGTCAAAATTTAAAACAGTGAAGATTTTTCGAGATAAAGGGTACTAAGTTTTCGCTAAATCAGTATTACCGATTAGTTGATATCATTATTGACAAATAGAGCCATAGCTGCTTCGCAAACGCCAATATTTTTCACAATAAAAAGGCTCGTTCTGTTGTTTATTTTTATTTAAATGGTTTTAGTAAGTAGAGCAATTTTTTTGGGTGAATGCTCCTTTAGAAATTTTGTTGCTATTTTTACTGAAATAGCATTTCGATCTCTACATGAAGCTTAATGTTTTTATGGTTTGTATACTGTGTAGCCACGCAAATGCGCAACGCCCACGCACGTTATGTGACATTCAATTTATTATAAAACATCAAAAAATTCAAAGCATCAAAGTGCATGGATACGAGGCTGCTGTTTGATATGATTAACATTTACGTATATAAAGATCTCAGTATGGGAAATGTTGGTGAGGTAGTTGCCCCCTCCTGCAGTTTTGCATTACGTAGGTATTATGGGAAATTACGCGTGCGGGAGGAGTGATCAATTTTGAGCTGATATAGATACCAAACACCAGGAAATTTTGACAAAGTTTAAAAAAATACTTCTCTTTTCTAAGAAAGACTGCACAAGGGCCTTTCGAACTAAAGACAAAACTTCCTATAGCAGTTTTACTTCTCGGCAGTATGCACAATGATCCCTTTTTAAAATTTTAAGCCTTCCCTTTAAGATACAAAAGTCTTGTCAAAATGGATGCTTATAGTAAAATAAAAAAGAAAACGGATAAAAACATATCACATGTTACAAGAATCATAGCAGCTATTGCGAAGAGTTTGGTGCAGAGAGGTGTAAAAATGAAATTTATTCACAAAATGAGCTCGTTCTGATCAAAGTTACTATGGTAACATTGTAATAGTTCCACTAGGCTTTGACGGACATAATGATTAGAGAGTGTTGCATAGTAAAGGGCTGCATCCTCTTTCGCCAATCATTATAGAGATAGTACATTTTGATAAGACGAATCTGAGTTGATAATTAGGGGATGATATTGTTTAACAAGATCTTTTGAAAATGCAAAATATTACTGATTTTTATATTCGTATATTACAATGATCAATCTAGACTTGAACAGCCATCTTTCATTGTTTATTAATATTGCTCCCAGAAGAATGAATTTGGTTTACATTTCTTGTCAGGACTGTAGCTAGAGTATTAACTGGGAGGTTTTTATTCCTATAGTCAGCTGTGCTCCACTGGCTCTCAAAAAGACCGACACGGCTTTCGAAAGAAATCGGTCGGACATTATTGAACATTTGAATAAAAATCCCCCCCCCCCTTAATTAGCGTTCGTGATACGGCACACTGCTTTTTAACTGCAATGATTCTGACTTATTTACAATTCTGGACTTTTTACATTTATATTAGACTTTACATTAGACAAATACTATTATTGTCAATGTTCGTAAAATTTGGTAAACCAGAAGTTGGATCTAACGTGTACGAACAACTGATGTTTCTACAAAATTTCATTTTGTGAAAAACATATTTTTTAGGTGGTACCACCCCTCACAACACCTGTTGGCGACGGCCTTGAGAATCATTGATTTTGATTTTTTACAAAAGCAACTTAAAAATTGTAAATTTTGTTAAGTAGCTAAACTGTGTATAAAGCACATGTTTGCACTCTTTGTTTTGATTTTATACAAAAAATTTATGAATGATTTATTTTGTTGTGGTTATTGTTGCCTTTATGAATGAAGTTTTTACTAAAATGTAAAATATGATGTAGCTTTGAGAAACAGTTTACAATTTAAAAGTAAGTTATTTTAGGGTGGCTATTCTTGTGATAATGTATGAACTTTTCACTAATAAATTGAAAATATCATGAAGCTTTTACAAACAGTTTACTATTTTTCCCTAAAAATGAACTACGTACATTATTTTGTCCAGTGTTTTTTCTTTAACAATTCAGATGGAAAAATATAATGCATTATCTGAAATTTAAGTCAAATTGAAACAACTTTTACAACGATTCTTGACGAAATTGTAATACAATTGTAACGCCATATTTCTACTTGTTTTGGACTGTCTCATTTGTTAATTGTTCCATTAACATTTCTTGTACATTTCCTCAAATTTAAAGAACAGTGTTTTGCAAACAAAGAACAAATACATACATACAATATTAGAATATAACATTGGTATTTTATTACTTATTTCAATGCAGAATATAAAATATAGGCTATTTATAAAAAGTAGTTATCTATTTCAGTATAAATAGATGGGTAAGTATTAAAACAAAAAAAGAAAAATTTCTCCATCTCTTTAAATTTCACGTTCATGTCAATGATTATGTATTCTATGGATTTTTTAGACAAGCATTTTTAAAGCTTCTCGGGTAAGAATATCAACTTTTGTGTATCGTCAATTGTGTTTCACATGCTGTTCACGTGTATTGCATACTTGAAACGTTGTTTTTATGGAAAACAACATAACATAAAACCAACCAACTGCGAAATCATATGACGTGTAAGAAACTCATCTGATATATAGACAAACCTATCTACAGGATATTGTAGAACAGATCGTATTAACTTTTAATAAATATGTCTTCGTTTATCTCTACCATATTAAAATGGACTGTTGGTGTAATATGTAACAAAATACGAGATAAAACAGCAGAAAATCTTAAAGACGGTGATGTTGCGGATGCGAAGCTTCGAGAATTTGTAGTGGGAGAATTGAATGATATTAAAGCTAAACTAGACGGACTGTCACGAAAAGATCTTCTCAGCAGTTATGATTTCTTAGACCAAGGAATTCACCTTTTACTTGATTGTATCGAGAACTCTGCACAACTAAAAGAGGGAGAACAGGAAAGATTAAGAAATTTAACTGGAGAAAGTCAAATTGACCTGTCGTTGATTTCAAGCAACCAAAGCAGTGAAATATTTAAAGACTTTGATGAAGAACACAAACTTGATGAAGCTTTTAAGACATTAAGTATTGAAAGTCCTGTTGAATTGAAAACTGCTGTTGAGAGATTTAAAAACGCTAACATTGAAGCAACTCGTGCATTCAATAACGAAAGTTTGTCAATTGAAGATAG